TGTATGTTTTTTTTTTTCAAAGATTTTATTTATTTATTTTTATAGGGGGAAAGAGAGGGAGAGAAACAACAGTTCAGTTGCCTCTCACGCTCCCTACTGGGGACCTGGCCTGCAACCCAGGCATGTGCCCTGGACTGGGAGTGGAACCGGTGACCCTTGGGTTCACAGGCCGGCACTCCGTCCACTGAGCCACGCCAGCCAGGGCCTGACGTCGTATGTTCTAACCGGCACTGCGTGGGACCCTCTCTTCCACACTCTCACCAACGTTCGGTACGGCCAGTCTTCTCAAGTGCAGCCCTTCTAACAGGAATCTCACTTGGGTTTAATTGGCACTTTCCCGCTGACTAATTCTCTTGAAAATTTTTCATGTGCTCATTTGCCATCGGTATATTTTCTTTCTTGATGTGTTTATACAAATCTTTTGTCCATTTCTAAACTGAGTTGTTTCCTTATTATTGGCATTTGAGATTTCTTTATATACTTGAAAAACAAGTCCTTGATCAGATAAATGCTTTACTAAGATTTCACTCTCAGGCTGTGGCTTATATTTTCATTCTTATAACTACCTTTATAAGGGCAAAGTTTCTAATTTTGACAAAGTTCAATTTTTTTATGGACTATGCTTTTGGCATTGGATCTGAGAAAGCTCTGCTTTGCTCAGGGTCACAAAGCTTGCGCTCCTATGTTTCCTTCGGTAAGTTTAACAGTTTAAGCTTTACACTTAGGTCTTGAACTCATTTTCACTTAATTGTATATGATGCAAGGTGTGACAATGTTCCTTTCTCTGCACGCAGATATCCAGTGGTTCCACTGTCGACTGCAGGACAGACCATCCTTTCCCCACTGATCCAACTGCGCACTTCGGTCAAAAATCGGTTACCCATGTAGACACGTGAGTCTATTTCTGGATTCTCTACTGCTCCCCACTGCCCTGTCTGTCTGCCTGTGTGCCAGTATCTCAAGGCCCTGGGAGCTGCAGCTTTGAGGAAGCTTTGAAGGCAGGTAGTGTTGGTCCTTGAGCTTTGTTCTTTCCCAGTCATTTTGTTTTTTAGAAGCTTTGCATTTTGACAGGTTAATTTCTACAGAAGAGCAATGCTGAGATTGACCTGAATCTATGGGTTTAGCAAGAGCTGACAATTTAACAATATTAATTCTTCTAATCCACAAATACAGAATTTGTCTTCTTCATTTAGGTGTCCTTTTACATCGCCCACCCAAGTGTCCAGCGTACAGAACTCTCACAGCGCATGAGTCTTTCACACATTCTATCATATCTACCCCTATGTACTCGATATTTTTGATGTTAGTGTGTATTATACTGCCTTTTAAATTTCAATCAGATTGCTTATTGCTAATATATAATTAATTTTTGAGTAGTGCTATTAAACCCTGAAACTTTGGTGAAACTTACTCATTAGTTCTAGTAGCTTTTCTGAGATACCATGGGGTTTCTACATAAATGATCACACCTCATGTGAAGAAAGACAGTTGTATTTATTCCTTTTTAAATCTAGATGCATTTTGTTTCTTTTTCTTGGCATGTTATACTGTCTACAAAGTCTAGTACAATACTGAATGAAGTGAGGAGATAAGACATTATTGCAAAGACAGACTAAAGATCAAGCTAATCCTTCTGTTTGTCTACATTAAAGAAACGATTTCAGCAGCTACTAGACGAACAAAGAGAAATGGATGCTGAGATTGTGGAAAGAGTCAAGTGCTACATCCTCAAGTGTTATTAAAAAAAACCCTGTTGAGCATGAACAGAACGGTGGGCAGGAAAATTAATAGTATACATTAGCCAGTAAGACCACAGAATCAAAACTTAGCAGAATAAAGAGAAGGAAAGTCCTTCACTCCACCGACCCCACAAACTGCACTCTTCTTTGTCAGCCTAGCCCAGCACTGCTCCCACCAGCATTCAATGAGAACTTACTGTGCTGTTCTAACACTGAGGGGCCAAAAGGAAATTTGTCATTTTTAAAATAATCACTTAAAATACTTCAGGCCAATTTTAAAGGTGATATTTGCATGAGAAACTCAACAATAACTCTGTTGAGAAATCCCAGAGTGGAAAACATTATCTCACTGCAGTCTTCACTCATCTCTTAATTATGAAATATGAGGACTTTTCACTACTTATCTTCCTTAATTTCTCCACCGCGCTCTGAAATAATGACTATTTCTACTGTCTTTGATGCTCCTGCCACCCACTGGCCCCCACAGCGTTGGTCAAACCTCGGTTTTCCTGTTGGTCCTTGCATCACTCACTTCCCAGTCCCCTTCCCCGACGCCAGGGCTCTGTCTTCAATTGACCTCTTTGCTCCGGGCCTGTCTGTCCGTGACTTTATTCATAAGCACATTTAACAAGCTGAAGCTCAGTTTCCTGGACGTTGCCTCTCCACTGTATTTCCCAATCCACGAGCCCTACATCTGATGCCACCTGGGGAGTCTCGGGTGACACAATCCTTTCTCTCATTCCTTCATATCCAATAAATCACTAAATCCTGGGTTTCAATGCCAAAGTAAGTCATTTTTTTCCTCTAAACCCCACAAATATACTCAGATTCTTTTTTTCTTTTTGCCTAAGGCCAGGCCTTACCAAACTTTTGCAAAGAACCCTGTAGCAAATGCTCTGTGCTTCTTACATTAACTTTGTAAGAAAACGTCACCGGTCGGGCCTGAAGACGGAGGCGTGACCTGGGACAACTGCCACGCAGAACTGACGCAATCTGGTCAGAGGTGAGGTAGGGGAGGGACCCAAGGCTGCCTCTCCGGTTTCTGGCTTAGGCGCCTGGGTAGGCACGGTCCTGTTCACTAAGAAAGGGAACTTAAAAAGCAGTTTGGGAGTGAAGGGGGGAAGGGGGAGAGAGGAGGACGGGCCGAGGAGGCCTGCAGGGCACTAAGGGAAGTGCTCTAATCAGCGGCAGGTCAGCGTGGGAACTGCACCTCCACTCGCTGAGTGTCCGGTAGGCGTCAGCCACTGCTGTGAGCATTTAACACGTGCTAAGCTCATCCGCCCGACAACCCTAACAAGTGCGCACTGCTGCCACTCCCATTTCATACAAGAGGGAATTAAGGCACAGAGAGGCTGCATAACTTGCCGGAGACGGGAAGTGGGTGACTGGTAGAGCGGGGTGGGACTGGAACCCACATTATACCAAGTTCAAGCCTGTGCTTTTAAACACCAGCCTTCCTGCCTCCCTGGACACACGTTCGGGGACTGGCTGTGTCCTGTGGGGCTGCTGAAGTCACAGGCATGAAAACAGATCCCGAATGGAGGAAGTGGGCAGGGGATGTGGGAACACTAACACTCCAAGGACGAGCAGAGAATGAGGGGCCAGCAAAGGGGACTGAGAAGGAACAGCCAGGAGGAGGAGGAAAACTAGGCGAGGTGGGTTTCAAAGCGGCCAAGGCAGTGATTTGAGAAAGGACGCATCAGTGTGGTCGGGGCTGTGGGAAACAGGTCAGACAGAAACTGAGGAGCGCCCACGGGGCTGAGGAGCAGACACGCGCAGGGATTCTGGGGTGAGCAGGTCTGGCTGCCACAGCGGGTTCGAACCAGAGGCGGTGATCTCAGGTGTCTGAGAAATGGAGGTGGTGAGCACGGGACTCAGACGACACTAAAAAATGCTGGGCTGCAGGGAGGGGGATAGAAGGGGACTACATGGTAATGGAAACAAATATAAAAAAGCTTAAACATTTTTTTTCGTGGTTGTAAGAAGGAGAGACTTGAGCACGTTTAAAAGCTAATGAGTTACGTCCAGAAAAGTGGGAAGGGGAAGAGGACAACTGCTGAAGAGAGGTTCCCGAGGAAACAGGAATGTGTCGTGGAGTTGGGGGTGTAGGCGCTGGAGCTAAAATGCCTAGATTCAATTCCTGCCTTTGCTACCTGCGTGGGGAAAGGGATGGCCCTTCACTATGAAGAAACACTTCTGTGACGGAGAGAAAGGAGGTAATGACGGAACAAACGGCAGGTAGGCCGGGGGTGGGAAGGAGAGGACAGGGAGCTCCTCACCGAGGTTTTCTGTGTTCTCGTTAAGGCCAAGGCGACCTTCGGTTGCAGTGAGCAGCTGCAGGTGGGGGAGGGCCTGGGGGAACTTGGTCACTGTCAAGTGAACTACCAAAGGACCTGCGGCAGTGCGCGCCCCCGAGTGTGCTCGGCAGTCCCGAACCCCATGGTTCCCGGATTTCTCCGTCAGTGCTCAGCCACTCAACCACGAGAGTGAAGGAAGCAGACTGCTGGAATGTCTCAAGATTAGAACTTTTTAATGGGCAGATGTGACAAAAGCGTGATAAGTCATAGGTTACTTAGGCATAGACAAGAATAGCTGAAGTGATGGAACATGGATTTTAGGCTGAATAGAAAAAAAAATTAAAAAAGAGATGACATTTTCGAAAAGTAAAAGGACCGAAGCACTAGACGTCTCGATGAAGTCAAGATGCGGGGTTAGCCAGCAGGACAGAGCTGTGAGCCGGATGGCCACACTCCAGCTCTCACGAGTCTTGCAAGCTAACAAATAAGGCAGGAAATTAAACGAGTCTCCGGAATTAAAGACATAATGATGACAGAAGACAAGACCATCTTACGGGGCACAATGAGGGCACACCTACGAGTCGCAGGGCCGTTTTTCAGGGAAGGTTTTCCATGGGAAGCAATTGCTGAGCTGAGCTCTGGAGGGCAAGTGAGAGCTGGCCACGTTGAGTGGGGGCGGGACAGTGAATTCTGTACCAACAACACGGGCCAAGCCTGGGTGACCACAGAGCAGGAGGAAGCAAGGGCTGAGAGGCTGACGGCCCGTGAGGGGCGCCTACAAAGACGCCAGAAGGACATGAGGCCGGCACCAGGGCCGAGCCCCAGTCACTGAGTGAGGGAGGCGAACGAAGAGGTGGGCGGCCACAGGGGTGTTGGCAGGAACTAAGATGCTGAAGTGTATCTTAACCTGCTGGCATGCAGTGCACTTAAATTCAAGATTTAGCTAAAAAGAAGAATACTGTACCTTTGCACGAAACGTCGGGTGAACAAAATAAACAGCCTTCAAATTCCTCTTGTACCTGATTTAAAATTAAAACAAGGGTTAGTGTACATTATGCCTAAAACCAGTCACCATTACAGCAAAACCAGTCACCATTCCCTGCTTGACTATCTATATTCACAGAGGAAAAAAAAGTTTTTAAACAGCTCTAGTCTACATATTGAATTTTAGGTGGAAGGTCAAAACCAGTTCAGAGAACATTTCATTATTTAAAGTGTCTGTTTTATAGGAGACACTGTTTTTCTTGGCTGTAACAAAGCCACCTACAGGTAGGACAAAGGAAATTCATATTTAACAAACATTATATTGTATGACAGTTTTTTTTACATGAACCTAAAATCTCTGGGAGCGGGTTATAAATTAAACACCAGTAAAACCACCTAAAATTATACTAAAAATTAGAAATTAAAAGTTTTAATGAACATACTACAAGAATACAGGGAGTTTCCTATGTCCCAGAAATTGTATGAAGGCTTTCTACTAAATTCTCGTAACAATTCTAGGAACTGAGTACTAACACTGTTTCCACTTGGACCTTCCCAGGTTACCCAGGTATTAGCTGGTAGAGGCAAAAACCAAACCCAGGCAGTGTGGCTCCAGAACCACGCCCCTAACCACTACGTTGTCTAGCCTCTCCCAGCGTGCCTGAACTTACTCCTGCAGCTCATCAATCACCACTGGGTCACGTAAGGTTAACTGGAGAGGACTTTGGAGAAATGGTACAAGCTCTTCATTCCACAGTGGAGGCCTGTTCAGAGTTAAAGAGCTGGGTAGCAGTAGAGGCAGAATTACAGAGGAGTGAGGCTTCCTTATAAAACCCACATTCGGAGTAAGCTAAAAAAATGTCTATTAGCTAATGAAAGCTTCAGTATTTCTAATTAAAGATGAGATTTAAGGGGAGGAGTAAGATAGATAAAAATTTATCGTAATTTGCCTTCTTTGTACACTAACTGCGTTACAGATTTTTCGGTGCGACCCATAAAGACATTGTACGCTACCAATAATAAAACAACTACAGGGGGAAGACTGCTATTTTTATTTAGAAATTCTATAGTGAGAAGAAATGTTACAGCAGAATATTTTACCTTTGCTGTAGTAGGGTGTCTATATATTCTGGTTAAAATTTCCACTAGTACTTCAAGGGATATATGGTTTAATGAAAATAACGTTCTGACTCCAAGTCAGTAGCTCAGGTTCAAGTCCAAATTCTGCATTTAATGTTGTGAGACCTTGAGCAATATACCTGGCCTTTCCGAATGTCCGTATTTTCCCATCTGCCTTTCTGAATGTCCACATTTTCCCATCTTTCAAATTAGATTATAGATGATAGATTATAGATTAGATTTCCCATCTTTCAAACGTAGATTATACTTACGTTTATCTAGCTACAGGAAGGACACTAAATTCATATTTAACAAGCAAATGTATGGTGTGCTTTTTGTTACATGGCACTGGAATCTCTGGGATCAGATTACGAATGAACAATCTCACAGGGCACTAGAGAAATGAAGTGATATTTATAAATATATTTTGATAAGTGTAGCATCGTATAAACAGAAGGCAGTATTTTTGTTATTTTATATATAAAGGATGGCAATGCCCCCAAATGTTTTTCAAGGTGGTTAAAAGCAGGCAAAAGTTTACATATGAATTCACTTAAATGTGGTAAATTGGAGTGAAGGAGCACCTACTATTACTAAAACATCTAAACTATGAATGATTCAAGTCTTTGGTACACGAAACACACTTTCGCGGAATTCACAGCAGTGCTTGCTGCTGCTTCAGCCAGAAAGGACGCTGCGGCCCGCTCCGTAACTGGCAAAAACGACTCACTTGACATCAACGACATCACAGAGCTTCTTCAGGAAGTCGGAGTCCAGGTGATTGTACTCGCTGGTCAGCGTGTGGAAATACACTAACACGTATTCCTTCACAACAATGTGATCCATTACATGGATGAAATATAAGAGAGCCTGGAAGAGAAAGAGGAGTGAAAGTCAAGATCATTTTTAGTAGTAGTCTATTTCCCAGAGGCTGAGAGAGAGGAAATGTCGAGGAGATTAATCTGATCTATGCCCCGGGCGCTGCAGACAGACATTTCACTCTGATGCTATCAGTTCTCTTTGAAAACTGAGTGAGTGAAAACTCACTCTTCAGGAGAGTGAATCATGCCACTGCTTCATAATTCTCATGAACGCGATGGAATGATCCCTTTCTGTCTTGTTTGAAGTGATGGAGGAGAAGACTCTGCCTTTATCCTCTCAAACACCTCTTCACAGACTTGAAAGAATTCTTCATACAACTACCAGGTTTTCTCTCTCTAGGATGACATCAAAATCACTACAAGTAGCATTTCTAGACTTTTAATCATTCTCAAATTTAATGAGAGCCTTTGCAGTCTCTGCTGAGACAGAGGCTCATGGCTCTTGTAACCAAGAATCGCTATAAAGGGATGTTGGAGGTGATGCTGCACCGGGCTCACTTGGAGGCTCATTTTCTTAGCCCCTTTCGAGCTGACCTGAATGAGGACAATGAGACCGGGTTCGGCCAGTGGCTGGCAATGGGCTGGGCAGCATTTGTAGGGCTTGGAAAGACTCCAGTTTAATGTGACCCAGACTGGCTAGAGAAATACTCCACTGTAAGAAAGATAAAATATAACACAAACACAGACAAAGCAGACACAAGATATGTGCAGGGCCAGCGTGACCCAGGGGTGTAGCCATCAACTACGGCGAGGAGGAAGCTACGAGGTAACAACTGCAAGATTACTGTCAGGCTACTCCCCAGTCCCTCCTCAGGGAGTCCTTGGCATTCATACGACTGGATTAGCATGGATCAGGACCCAGCTGCCACCACGACAGCGGGGGCACTAAGAACACACAACGTCTCTCCAACTGCTGCCTGGGTTGACCTCACAATACAGCCCATTATTTTATATTAAAAGACATGTCATGAGTATCCAGAACATCATGGATGTGCACACTGACAGCAAATGCAGGGAGCTATGTTTTTGTTGGTATCAATCACATTATTAATAATAAGAATAAATGTTATACTGGTTATTATTAACACAAAATAACCACAAGCAGAAACTTACTACTATTAATAAATACGTGTGTGTATAAAACTGATGCATGTGTGTATTTTTATTATTATACAATTTTATTTCTGCCCTTACCAGTTTGCTTCTGGTCCTTTCTATCCAGTCTCCAACCCCTCCCAGGACAAGTAAGATGCTTATTTTTAGCTTCAAATTCCCCATCTTTAACTTAAAATATTTTTCATTATAAAGAAATATAGCTACATGACAGAATAATGTAGAAAACAATATTCCCCCAAACCATGAAATCCACTTTCAGATATTTACGTCCAGTTTTTATCTTTAATACACTAAAAACTCAGTGTATATACAATTTAATGTACCACTTTTTATCTTACTGACGTGACACTATAAACATTTCTCTACAGCACTTGCCTCTATAACCATACTTCCTAAGGGTCACAGAACATTCCACATGTGGATGAACCATGACTGCCTGTTAGGAATGTAAGTTATAATTCTGTGCTACCAATGAGCCCGTGGGTAACATGCTAAGTCTATCGTTAGACAACTTTTTTTTTTTTAATCCAAACGCCAGTGACCAGGATTCTATGGGTTTAGCCAGAAGCAATAGTCTGCTTTTGGTTAACTGTGTTTTATCTTAAAATTGTGTGTAATTTTTACATTTTTGTGCACATTTTTTTTACTATAGTTAAGAATCATGTGATTCTCCTCCTTTGCAGTCAGTTTCTAATAAAACTGATGTTCTAGGAAGATCTTCATATTTATCCTGTGAACTCAACTGTCCCTTGCCTGAGTATTCCAATTTGGGCAGTTTCAGGGCCTACAGCTACCTCCGTACTTTGGATTATTTCCTCGTACAGAGTCCCAGGAACGGAATTGCTGTATCCTTGGGGGTGACCACTTTTACTGTCAACATATCTTTGATCACAATCCTTTAAAAAGTTCTGGCTAATTTTGGAGGTTGAAAAAGGTATCTCATTTTAATTCATTTTTCTGGATTACTCATCAGGTTGAAACTTTTAAAATTTTTATTTACCAGTAATACCATTTCTTTTATAAACCATTTATTCCTGTCCCTCCAAATGAAGGGATTATGGAATCATGACATCTTGGGTTAACTACATCTCTGGTTTCTTCAGAAAAATCCACCCCTCCCTCCCTCCCTCTTTTTCTTTCTTTTTTAAGAAAGGCAGACTTGGATTCTTAGCACAATGATAATGCAGACTGATTCCAGCCAAAAATTTGCCAGTTACGTGATCTCCAAAACCGAGCAAATGTGTTTTTGGAGATTACATTATGGCATTCCAGTATTTCTGCTTCTCCCACAGAGCAAAACCAAAGCCCTAGCTTACTGAAACGATACATGCAGATTTGCAGAACCCCGGGGCTGCTTGCTACGCTGCCAGAAATGCACAACCATCTCACATTCTAAGCCCTGATTCCAAATTCACTCACTATATTTTGCCATGTATAATGCGCACTTTTCTCCCCCAAGTTTTTGAGGGAAAAATAAGGATGTACATTATACATGAGTAATACCTAAAATACCTGGTATCTATTCTTGAGTTTTCTAATTATTTGTTACATAAAATTTCTTGTACCACAGTATGCTCAAAAACAAGTGCTAAAATTCCTTTATAACACAAAAAACCAAGCCTCTAAATATAACAAATAAATTGAATTAAAAAATTAAAATGAAAGATTTTCTCCTTCAAAGTTCGGGCCAAAACTGTGGGTGCACAGTACACATAGGAACGCGTCACACAGCAAAATGCAGCCCTTTCTTTTAAACCGACGTCATCTGTCCAACAGAGCCCTGCGCAGCTCACCTTGTCCATATCTATCAGTGTCACTGGGATGTTTCTCCCAACCACCACCATCACCGTGCGCCCGCAGTTGTCGACACCTGTAAGCAGGAGATGCGGTCAGTACCCTGGAACTTCATTCCAAGAGTGTTATTGGTCCTGGGCACTAGTCTCACACAAACAGCCCACACGAGTGTAGGGGACTGAAAACCGAAAACACAAGTTTTGCACATTTCATCTTTGCACATTTCATCCCTTCGCTGCATGGAGAACAAGGCTTCCTTGCTCCCCCTGGGGGTTCTGATGCCGCTCTGTTAGGACAAGGTCTCTCCGGGCACTGAATCAGGGAGACCCATAGGTCAGGCTGTGGGGCAAAGATCTTCTTACAAATAGCTTTGTGTTAAACTTATTACAACTTTCAGTAACACTGGTGACCCAGGAATTATTAAATGGAACTCAAAAGTGAAAATTAATTAACTACTGTCTGGAAAAAACATAATGTAGAAACAATGGGAATCTGAGAACTTTCACTGTCTCCATTACATATTTATGTAATATTTGAATTTTGTGTAGCAAGGATATGGTACTTTTTAAGGCAGAAAAAAAATTTAAAGATAAGGAAAAGAACATTAAAAAGAAATAAAGTTGGCCAATGTAGAACTACCAGTTGAAAACTGTATAAAGTTCTATCTTCTTTAGTACAAAAACACTTGATTTGTAGGTCAAATGGACAGAATCAGGGAGAAATGAAGTCTCTGTGAGCATGCCCTGGAATCCTTTGTCAGTAGAAGGGCAGGTTACCATGCCCGCGAGCTCACCTGTTTGGTATAAGGCTTTCAGAGACGCAATATCAGACAGGTCCTCAGACCTTGCTTGGCATAACCAGCGATTGTAACTAGAGAAAGAAAACATACAATTATTACAACCAACCCTTGTACATTAAATTTAACAGCTGGTTTTCTCTTTTCCTGTTCCTAAAGAATGATGCTTTATTACAATGAGCAAGGAGTTAAAGAGGCCTTGATACCACACAGAGTCTCTACCGTGCATTATTGATAAAATAAACACAAATGAATTACTGAGAGAAGATATTCACATGTAGTTAAGAAATCCTTTATGATCAAATAAAGACATACAAATGCCTCAGATACCAAGTTCTCAATCTAACACTGTTTTAAAATACTGTTACTTTCTTTTGCTAGAAATATGCAAAGAGAAAGCCTAAAGCAATAGCAGTTCTACACAACAGATGTTTGCTTGTTCCACAAGGATTTATTTATTGCATGCTAGGTATCAGAGGTATTATAGTGAAAAGACAAGGCCGGTGGCCTCCAGTTTACTTTCAGAAGATCATGTACAGGTCACACGGGAACACAAAGGGACTGGGTGACTCTGTGAATTCCAGGCTGCTTTGATGATGGGCTAATCCAACCAGTAGTGCTTATGTACCCCCAACACCAGATCGCGTAGGGACGCAGTTTGTCTTTGGCTGAGAGGATGTTAACGCTGAAAGAGATGCAAAAGATCTCAGACGGGGGAATGGCCTGGAAAAGGTCCAGTTAACCTTCGAGTTACCTGCCAATCAACGGTAGAGCTGAATTCCAAGTAGCACTACTCAGGCCTCCGAAGTTCTGGGAAGTTCAGTACTGTTTCTATTTCACACTGCTTTCTTAAAATCCAAAGTGCCTCTTATCTGACTGGAAAAAAGCTTTCAAGGCACCTAATGTATGAAAAGCAACCTTGAAGCATCGAGGGCACATACGGCAACATCTCCTAACGCAAAAAAATGAAACTAGCAGAGGGGTGACCTGGGTTCTAATCCTACCACTTTCTGTGTATGTAGGACACCTTTTGGCTATACAGCACAATCACACAACTAAGGATATTTAATAGGAAATCTATTACATATGGATTGTGATCAACAAGTGATATGCCCCTCAGTTTCACAGAAACTGTTATTGCTTGTGAAAAATACACCTGGTGTGAGCGGCATAGTTCTAGTTTGCCTCTTTACATGTGGAAGCTTACCCAGTCATGCCAACTGAAAAGCCACAGATAATAGCTTTTAATTTTGGTTTTGGATACAACTTGTAAGTCAAGAAAAGACCCATGGGCAATGTAGTTCTTCCTATGCATAAGCACTATTCGATATTTCCACTTCCACAGAGTCACTCCATTTTCACAGAGTCACATCCTAGGTTACTTACCCTAAATCCTCAGCTACACTGTTTTCTAGCTGTTTTACGATTAGGTCATCCCACCACAAGACTAAACAGAATAATCCATCTTAAATGTCTTATGAGCACCACTAGTCCCAGCACAAAATATGGAACAGGAGTTTGGTAAATATCTATTAATTTCTACACTCTATGTATTCATTAGCTCATTTTTCAGAGATTTACAGCATAAGTGTGATGCCTGAATCATAGCAGGGACTCAATTCTGTGTGGAATAAAACAGACATGAGTATTACTCAAGGTATTTTGGAGGCCTGGGAATAATAAAAGGCCCTTGGCTTCAAAGAGTTTTAAAGTTGAATCTACTGGATACACATATTAGAAAGACAATTTAAAGCTTTAATAAGAATGAGACAAGCAACCCAACAGACATCGAAATACTCTCTCCATCAAGGGTGTGTGCTGAGAGGGACACTGGCAGGGGTGGGGGTGGGACAGGCAGAGGAGTGGCAAGGTCCAGGCCCGCGGTGGAACTGACTACTGACCACTCCCCTTTGTAACAAACGCTGGCCCAAGGCCCTGCCTATTTGTTGCAATGTCTGCTTCTACTGGGGAACGTGTCTTATCTCTTTATTTCCAGCAAATCTCTAGGGTAGTTCCTGACACTTGGTAGCTAGCTATATATGCGTTCAATGAACTCTGAAAAAAATTTTAAACTGGAATTCAGGTGCACAAAATAGAGCTAATCACCTCTGGTGGAAAACACCCTCAGTCATCACTAGTACGTGCATGGTTCTCTCTACAGAAACTAATTAATTTTAATGAATAGCACTCCGAACCCCACCACCCAGAGCAGAAGTTAACACCCTCACAATAATCTCACCTTTCTCTTGCTTTCTTTTTTATGTCATTTTAGGTTGTCTATATGTACGCCCCAATAGTCTTCTGGTTATTAACTATTCATAAAAGAAAAAGCTGGTCATGTTTATGTAACCTTTGGACCTCACACTTTGACTTATTACTAAGATTTGTGTATATTGTTACTATCTGAAAACTATAGCTGTTTGAAAGTCACTCTCCTGCTGACGGGCACTTGGGCTGTTCCCAGGTTTATGCCACTGTGAACAGTGCTGAAATCAGCTCATCTCACGCCTCCTGGCACACGTGTGCGTGGTTTCTCTCGGGTGGATACGCAGGGGTGGAGACATTTGGTTACATGGTGTGTTCGGTTTGAAGAGATAAGGCCAAATCTCCTTCCCAAAGTATTGCACCAATTTGTACTTCCACAAGCAAAGAGCAGGAGACCCTGTGAACCCACGCCCTCCTCAACACTCAGTGTTGGCAGATGGCAGCCGATCAGGTAAGTCTGAAACAGCACAGCAGTTCCTCGGTCACTCACGATGTGGACATCCCGTTCACGTTCACTGACCATGTCTTCCTCTGCTGTGAGATCTGTTCATAACATTTGTCCATTTCTCTCTTGGGCTGTTTCTTCTTTTCTCACTTATTCATAAGCGTTCTTTATGTATTCTTGATACTAATCACTTTCCAGTTGTGTATATTGTGAATTACTCCCATTCTGCAACTTGTTTTTCATGTTCTTTAACCTTCATTGCTCCACTTTCTAACATTCTTACTTTTAAAATAGCCAAACTAGTTTTTTCTTTTTTAGTCAATGCTTTTGAGAGATTAAGAAACCTGTCCTTTCTCCAAGATATGAAAGATACAACCTATAATTTCTTCCATGAGTTTTAATTTTTTAAATTTAAGTCCTTGCCCTGGCTAGTGTGGCTCAGTGGACTGAGTGCTGCCCTGTGTACCAAGGGGTGCTGGTTCGATTCCCAGTCAAGGCATATGTCTGGGTTGTGAGCTAGGTCAACCCCCAGTAGGGGGCGTGCGAGAGGCAACCACACATAGATGTTTCTCTCCCTCTCTCTCCCCCTTACCCTCTAAAAATAAATAAATAAACTCTTTAAAAAAATACTGAGTAGATAGTTTCTTAATAGGTGAGGAAATAGTTTCTTAATAGATTGCAATCAATTAAGGTTGGATGCTATCCTCACAAAGCTAACATAAGGCAATTTCTTCCAGTTAATCAGCTACCACCTAACTGTACAATCAACAGTTGAATGATGAAGAAAATTTAAGCTAAATTACTCCTAGAAGAGCAACAACTAACCCATTTGTGTATAACCAATACCCCAGGGAAAATCTTGGCTTTGGAATTAATTAGCTTTTTCTGACCTCATGCAACTAACCTTCCCACACTGGACTTGGTTAAAACTCTTGTCAAATATTCCTAATCGCATCCTATAACTTAAATACATTATTAATCAGTGGTTAGTTTAACATTTCTCCCTCTGCAACACCTTCAGCTCCATGAGGGCTGGGGCTGTGCCTGTCTCACATGTTACTTTACTACACTTCTAGCCCAGCACTTAGCACATTAGTAAGAGCTCAATAAATACTTAAAAACGAGTGAGATAAAGTTTTTACTGTGAGAAATGACAGAAGAGTTGTAGGTAACTGGATCTTATGCCAACCAAATAATACTTGAAAAAAAGTTACTGTAAAATAATTTAAGAGTTTTAAAAAACTCTTGAGTTTGAAAAAAATAGACTGCTTCCTAATTTTTGTAAGTAAGCTAACTTCTTTCTACCTTGTGATACACCCAAATTAGTGTCACAACTGAACAGAAGGCCTGGAAATATTAATAAGTAATTAAACAATATGTCTAATTTTTTCAGATGTTAAAGATAATTATTTCACAGATACTGATGTTGCAAGGCAATGCTATGAAAGGAATGATCTAATGTAGCCAATGCATGTGAACTTGTTTTGTTCTGATGAAGAACTGAAGGCCTTCAGAAAGATATCCCTAAACGAAGACTACTTACTTCCTCAGAAACAAATGCACTGCTGGCTCAAGCTGATCAACTAACATAGTCAACAGATACCAAACTGTTTTATGTAAATAAAAGCCTGATTGAAAAAGACTAAGAAATAAATTTTAAAAACTACAACCTGCCACTTTAAACATTTACCATGTGGCAGAGTGAAGCACAGACATAGCTCACAGCTCAGTCATACCACAAACCACTAAAGAATTAGTCTTTAGTTCTCAACCTTTTCGGTCTCCGGACCCTTTTACATTTATGTCAGTTATATCCACCAATATTTACCGTGTTAGAAATAAAGACAGAAATTTTAAAAATAACTCCTATTAATTTTAAAACAGTAAAAACCTACTAAGCAAACGTAAGTTTATGCAGAACTTGGGGGGAAGAGGTGCCCTTTTACACTCCTGCACGTAACTGGTGCTGGAGTCCCACACGTGCTTCCGCGTTCAAGCTCCTGCAACATCACACGTGAAGCGGCCCCTGGAAAGCTGCACTGGACACTGTGAGAATGACAACTAAAAGGGCAAATAACTCCCAGGAACATTAGAAAAACAGCCGTGGTCTCACGGCCTCCCCGGCTCACACTTCCGAGCTGCTGTTACTACGGTGAAGTATGCTGCGACACCGAGACCTCGGATCATCACAGATGCTGGGCACCTGACTGGGAAATCTGAACGTCGTTTCGCTCGGAAGTTGCTTATCATGCAAGGGACCTGCGTGGCGGGGGCACCCAGTCCGTTTCTCGGCTCAGGCTTTGGGGGACAGGCCGGCTCGTCCCCAGGCCTGCGAACGCATGCTCACCGGATGCCCACACCAGCCTGACCACTGCTCAGAGTATACGCCTGACATCTGTCTGTGGTGTGGTCACTCATGCATTTCCAGAAGAGAGGGACTACCTTACTCATCTCTGTGTATTTCAGGATTAGAATATTACCCTTGTACAGAGTAAATAAATACCCAGTGCTTCCTGGGACGAATGGAAACTGTCAACTGTGTAACACACTTCAATCCCAACATCAAGGCCCTTGACCCGGAAGGACAATGCTTAGATGCTGTCTTCCTGTTCCTTCCCAGAACCTACCCCTTTGCTGGGGACTCCTTTCCGGCAAGCATGAACTCAATGAATACAGATTCCTTTTAACACTTGCTTGAACTTGTAATTATTAAGTGAAACAAGCCTCTTCATTAAAAAGAGAGATGCAGACAGGCAGACAAGTACCCAGTTCAAACACAAAGTTAAAAAATTCCTGTACCACTCGTGGGAAAATGAAAAAGTTATGTGGGGCATGTGTGTGTCTTTGTGGGAGAAGAAGAGTGGAAGGGGAGACTGATTTCAGAAAGGTGGTAACAACTCAGCTCTTGTTGGTTTATGGAAACAAGTCCTTCCAGTCCTTTCCCGACGTGTCCACAGCCAGTGCGGGGCAGCGGGCTGAAGACGGCGGCAGGCAAGGGAGCCCTGCTGCGGGCGCTCTGTGGATGGCTCTCCCTCGGTGAGCTCCAACCCTGGGCAGCAACCGATCCTCCGCTCTCGGCCATCGATTGGCTCTTGAGGGAAAAATCTCAAACTAGACCAGTGATTCAGGACACGAAAGGACTCCCTAAGAAACTTTAGAAGAAAGGTTTAGAACCCACAGAGGTTCTAGCTCAGGAAGCTTGGTGCCCGGCCTAAGCATCTTCAGCAAGCACCCAGAGACTCTCATGCTCAGAGACCGTGCTCCCAGTGGGGGACCTGCCTCAGAGGATTCCCAGAATGCCTTTCAGCTCTGAAGTCCTGGGGGGAGACCACACCCCAGTGTTTCTCAGAGTGGGGCTCGTGGCCCTGAGCCTTTTTCCAGGGGGTTGCGAGGTGGAGACTGTTCCCAGGATGATGCTGAAACACCCTGCCTTCCGCGCTGTGGGGACGCCTGCCCTGCCAGTGCGGCAGCAGCCGCTGAGGGTGCCTCACAGGAGTCGGGGCGGAGTCCCCGACGGGCGGGCAGTCACGGGGCCCTTCGCTGCCAAAAGAGGCGCAGAACAAAAAAGCCAGTTTCTTTTAAGAATGTCTTTGATGAGGGGGTAAGAATTATTAATTTTATTAAGTCAACCCTTGGGAACACATCTGTTTAATATCAGTGTGTCACAAAATGGGAAAACACATGAAGGACTTCTGCTCGCTGAAGTGTGAGGTCGTCTGGGAGGAAGGCTCTGTGGGGCGGACTTGCAAGCTGAACCAGTTGCTTTTTTTCATGAATCATCGATTTTCTTGAAATAATGACTGGCAGACAAAGTGTGGCGCTTCTACATGAGTAGGTGGCAGATGATTTGTCAAAAATTAATAAAATGACCCTGACACCTCAAGAAAACCTAACAGCATTTATTGACAATGGTAAAACCTGAGCTTTAAAAAAACATATAATTTTGGAAAATTTGTCTCTATTCCCAGAAGCTTACAGTGCCTAATACTTCAAGACTGTTCTGATGATAGCAGTGGTGATATTAAATATAATCTTTGCTATTGTGTAGTAAAAGGTATTAGTATTTGGAAGATATGATTAATTCAGTGAGCCACTATTTTTCAAAAGACCAATGCATCATGATATAAATTCATGCTCTAAATTCCTATTATAAAATCCATTCAAAGTGCAGGATTGAACAACACATTTTTATATAACAAAATACAAAATTTCATGGATATGATTTATGATTACACATTACAACTAAACTTTAAGAAACTATTTATCAAGCTATTGTGGAATATCAAAGAATAATATCCCCAATTATTTGAAAAGGCTATTGAAATACTCTTCTCTTCGCCAATTATATATCTGAGGTCGATTTTCTTCATGTACTTCACCCAAAAGAGCTTATTGCCACTGTTTAAATGCTGATATGAGAATCCAGCTGTCTTCTACTAAGCCAAATATTGCAAAATTTGCAAAAAAATGTACAACAGTGCCAGTCTCCTCCCTAGTGTAAAAAAAGTTACATTTCATATAAACATGATGGGCTATCTTTCAGTGAATTGATAAAGAATCTCTAATATGATCAATACTGGTAGGTATAGATAATCCAGGTGAACAAAAGCTCTCTGGGGCCCTGAGACCACACAGTCTGAGATCCACTGCCCTAGGCGGAAGGGGGCGCCCACATCCAGCAGAGCACGCATCACGACGTGAAAAAGCTTTAATATACATGTGGATGTCATAGTTCCAGTCGTGTGAGGGACGGCCCCATTCCTGTATTTAATTTTTTTTCCTCTCTGAAGGACATTTTTTTCACTGCTTTTAGAGAGGAAGGGAGAAACATCAATGAGAAAGAGAAGCATCGACTGGTTGCCTCCCAGGGGTGTCCAGACCAGTGATCAAGAGCCCAACTGGAGATCAAACCTACAACCTAGCTATGAGCCCTGACTGGGCATCGAACCCGCAAACTTTCGGTTATGGGATGATGCCCCAACCAACTGAAACACACCAGCCAGGGCCCCAGTCACTGTGTTTAAAGAACAATGTTTGTCAGATGCTTGTTACACATGACCAAGTTTAGGAATCACTGAAACTGCATTTGAGAGTGCGATTGCCTTTGGAAAAGCTGTTTATTGATGCCCCCTAGTGGTTACTTTGCTTTTGTTTATAAAAATTAAATCATCATAAAGTGAAGACCATGAAATCAGGAGACACGAAATTCTAACTCTAGGGGATTCCAGAGATCACCTAGTCCAACTCCCACTGTGTAGACGCAGACTGACAACCACCACACACCCTTAAATACAGTGGGTGCGTGCTAGGCTTGGGCTAAGTGTAGTCTGAAACAGCACAGAGGAGGGGGCACCTGTTCCCGACTTCTAGTCCATCTATTCCAACTTGTCTCTAGCACGACAAGTTTCTAGAAGCTGTTCCTTCTGAGCTGAAACTGGACAATGCACAGGAACTGAAGGATGGGAGTATTCCGGTCCAAAGATGCCAAGGAGCAACACCCAAAGGTAAAAGTGACTGCGACTTGCTCCGTATTGAAGAGAACGGCAGTGGCCAGTCTGAAGAGCCCGCTGAGCACCAGGTGCGATGCCAGTGAGCTCGTGACATTATCTCATCTAAGGTTCACAGCCGTGTGAGACGCGGTCCCTCAACCAACCCAATGAGGTGCCGGATGATACCGGCCATGTAGAGTTCATGATTTTTTCTTTCCTTTAAAGTTTTTTTGTAAAGCAGCTAGCTTTCCAAGAACCCTGGATCCTTGGGAAAAAAGCTTAGTCATAAGTACAAAAGCTGCTTTTGTTTATGTTTCAAAAAGCATTCACTCAGACTTGCTTTAGAAAACACCTGAAAGAAACGGAATGGCTTTGTAAGGTCCTTAGGGTAAACTGAGAGGAAATAAAGCTCTTTTAAATTTAAGTAAACTGGAGGTTATGTTTTAATTATGAACATCATAAAGTTAGGTAAATACTTGGTAAGTCTGCCTTTCCCAGTGTCTAGTTTTGCAACAGAGCCTCACCCAGAAAGGCCACATTTGCAGCAGAAAGAGCAGGAGCTCTGGAATCAGAAAACATCAGACAGAACACTGGCTTCAGCACAAATTAACTGTGACCACTGATGAGTTAACCTCGAATTTCTGCATCTGCAAAGCAGGGGCAGCATCGTCCTCGCGGGACAGGCATGAGGAGTGAATGGGAGCACGCTACACACAGACCATTCGCACATGGGAGGCACTTCCTCTGCTGTGCCTTTCGGGCCAGCGGGGTTTGCCTTACTTTCTCTGATGCTGTTTCTGCAGGGCTGCCTCCGATAGCTGTCCCTGGAGGATCAGTCGTCTTTGCTTATCGATATCTCCTTCCATTCTCGCGAAAGCGTGAGAGCCAATGAAAGAGAGATCCACTCCCAAGCCTTCATCCTCCTCCTCTTGGTCGTCTGCAACAGAAACACCATCAGTCGAGCGAGAGCTCAGGACAACACTTGGCGGTGAACGGCACAAACAGCATGTGAATGCGCAGCAGGGATGACTGACTGGGAGCCAACCCAGAAAACGGGACTAAGGCTGTATTTGGAGAACCGAAGTGAGATCAGGCTTAGGCACTGGAAAAACGGAAATGATGAAGCAAAGCAACAAATGTCTGGGGTCACTTATCCAGAACTACGGAGGGAGCACCTGATGGGTCGGTACATAAACTTCAGCCCTGGGTCAGGTACCCGACGAGGAAAGCAGGATGGACGAGGACTGCAGGGTGTAACCCCAACCACTAAGGAATGTGCGAATTCCCATTCCGCATCTTGGTTTTCTGCAGGGGTCCTGCCTCCATTCTGGTCCGTAACAATGACGGCTCTCACTGCGAGTGAGTTCACTTTCTGATTTATCCCTGTGATCGCTCACGGATCACGCCTTACTCAGTGTGTTCCCCACTGCCTTACCAGATCTGTTAAAACAATTTATTAAAAGAAAAACAAACAAAACTCCCCGGGACCACCGGGAGCCAGCACCTGAAAGCTCGGCCTGGCGGCCACCCAGCCAGCACTGCCTCACACCTGCTTTGCTGCTCCAGGCTGCGACAGGCCCACAGCGTAGAAGAGTCTGCTTTTATTAAAAAATACACAGGAATCTTCTTTCAGTCCCTCAAGTAAAGCTGATTTTACATCTATTTCTAACAGAGTTAACCTTCCATCGGAAAGTATTTATGAACACTAGGGCTTATATCTATGAAGTGACACTATTTCCTGAGATTCAGATGCAAATAAATCACCGTTTGAGAACGGTGGACAGACCAGAACCTTTGGCTAATGAGTCAGTCTCATCTACTGCCCAGCAATACCATCTCAAGTCAGTTTTGCTATTCATTACCCCTTGCTATACAAAATACATTGTATGCACTTAGGAAAAGTTTTGTCCTATAGTGGCAATCACAATGATGGGGATTTGCAAATGACTCTGGGCATAACCCAAGGGTGTGCTCCACTGGGGGCTGCCTAGAGAACACGGGTGCCCTCCAGCAAAGCCTGGTTCCGGGATATCACCTGATGCCCCGCCATTTAGAATTCCCTCTGTCTGACCAAAGTCCGTGTGCTGGTCATTAAAAGGAGATGAGCAGCCTTCTAGAGATTTGAACTTGATGCTGCTCATCACGATGTGATTCCTAAGCTGATGAATTTTGAGACTGACTTCCAGCACTGAAGCCTGTGAGGCTGTCTCTGCAGAAGTGATTTATAACCTCAGACATATACACCCTGGAGGATCAGCGCACGCTGTCACACAGGACAGGTCCAGAAGGCCTTCCATCCTTCCGAGCTCTGCCCATGTTTCAATCTATGTGAGTAGATTGAACCTAGAGAAACAAAATGAATAGTTCCAGTATTCTCGTCTTAGAATTCAATGTTAGGTATGGCTTTAGAGGATGCTGTTGAAAATTTTAGATGTTAATGTATGTGACCAGTGTCTCCACAGTGTCCTGAATGAAACCACGAACTTCATGAGGGTAACAATGTTGCTTGTCAGCCACCTCTGAATTTCTGTCGCCTAACACAGACTTGACATTACACGTGTGGGTGCATTTTTTCACTTTTTAATTTAAAGCGTAAATCTCAACGTAAGACTCTGAAAACACTGAGGCTGGCCTTCATCTTAGTGTCCCACTAGCAGGCAGCTTCCCCAGGGTCTGGCTGCACCCCCCACGTCCGAGGTGCTCGGTCCCTTCGGTGTCCTCAGAGGGCGACTGAGGCGGGCAGAACTCACCCTCCGGGGCCCCGGGCTTCTCGCTGATCCGGATCTGCCGCTCAGGCACCACGGGCTCCCCTTCCGCGTTCCCGATGTCTGCAGGTAGGTACAGCAGTGATCGCCTCTCCTCCTTCAACGACCTTGGGAAGTACAGAGGTAGCAGCTTTTGGTAAGTGGCCTGCGTCAGAAAAGCAAGACGAACTGTGACAAACCACAAAGTGGCAACGCAGGCGCCCGCGGTGCTCGGTGCTGTTCCCACGCTGTGAAGACGGCCTCCAGCGAGGAGGAAGACCGTCCCTCCTCCAGGCTCGGACTGGAGGTTGTCGGGGACCCTCCATCTGCTCTGGGTTACAGACCAGGACATCCATAGCTCGTGAACTCCCGTTCTGGCAATCCAGGGGACTGGGCCTGGAACGGGGAGCTCTGCCACCCTGTGGCCTTCCCCACCCTTCACCTGACTAACGACAGTTGTCTTCCAGGATTCGACTCAGACGCTACCTCCTCCATCCTCACCGTGCCATCAGGGTATGCTGACCCAGTTTAGTTTTTTAGGATTTTTTTTTTACCAATTCACATATATTCATAGGAGTTTTATTTGTAATAGTCTCAACCTGGAAACAACCCAAATAACTTTGAAAGGGTGACTGGAAAGAAGGGGAAGGGGCAAGTGAAGGAACATGAACACAGGACTCACGGGCACAGACCATGGGGTGGGGACTGACTGCGGGAGCGGGCTGGGAGGCAGGGCAGGCGAGAGCAACATGGAAACAGGTGGGGCAACTGCAACTGAACAACAATAATAAAAAAGGAAGGGCGAATGAATAAACTGTGATGCATCTATACAATGAAATACTATCCAACGGTAATATTAACAGATTATCAGTACACTCGATACTTGGGTTCATCTCAAAGGCATTATGCTAAGTGAAAGAAACCAGTATCAAAGGTCACATAACATGTTATTTCATTTATATAACATTTTTACATGACAAAATTAGTGACTGAAAAGATATTGGTAGTTTCTGAAGCTTCAGGATTTTTTTTAATGCTTCTCTTTGTGAATTGTTATTCCAAAACTTTTATTCTTCGAGGTTTCCCAAAGAACAAAGGTAAATTTTTCTTTTTCAAAAACAAATTAGAGTGAAACTCATTCTATCTTACAACCTCCCTGTGAGTGGGCTCACTGGACTCATTTACGAGCCCATGATACATTACAGGTATTTAGTGCTCATATTTTTCCTATTCCCTTTTCATCATCCTAAAATTTTTTTTAAGTTTATTGTTTTTAAAGATTTATTTATTTTTAGAGGGGAAGGGAGGGAGAGAGGGAGAGAAACATGAATGTCTGCTTGCCTCTTGCACAGCCCCTACAGGGGGCCTGACGTGGCCCACAACCCAGGCATGTGCCCTGGCTGGGAATCGAACTGGTGACCCTTTGCTTCGTAGTCTGGAGCTCAATTCACTGAGCCATGCGAGTCAGGGCTAATTATTGTATTGTTTTCCATACGAACAACTGTAAACCTACTTTTGCCCACTCTTGTATTTCAAGTACGAGTGTTTGTGTGCACATGCCTGAGAGTGGAAACTCGGCTCAACTTTCTGAGAAACCGCCTGTTTTTCCAAAGCAGCTGCGTGATTTCACATTACCACCAGGTGTGCATGAAGGTTCTCATTTCTCCATGTCCTCTCCAGCACTTGTTACTAAGTATAGCCACACTAATGGATGCGAAGTTATTTTGATTTGCATTTTCCTAATTGTTAATGTTGTGGAGCGTCGTTTCATGTACTTATTGGTCATCTGTGTATTTTTTCTGAAGTAATGTCTACTTAAAACTTCTGGCCTTTTTTATAGCAGTTTAAGGTTCAAAACAGAATGGAGAGGGTAGGCAGATTTCCTACATCCCCGTCTGAACACATCCACAGCCACCCGGGGGCACATCTGTTGTAAGTGACGGACCTGCCATGCCACGTCCGATCCCCCGTGGTGCAGGTGACATCCAGTCTTGGTGGTGTGTGTTCCACAGGTCTGCACTAATGTGCAGTGACCTGCCTCCATCGCGACGGCACCATGCGGAGCGTTCTCACTGCCCTGAAAAGCTCCGTGCTCTGCCCGTTCCCCTCGTCTGAAGCCCCGACCCCTGGTCCTTTCAGCGTCTTCACAGTCTTGCCTTTTCCAGGAACGTCATATGGTTGGAATCCTGGTATGCGGCCTTTTCGGACGGGCTTCTCTCACTCAGTAATACGCATCTGAGTTTCCGCCTTATCTTTTCACGGCTCAGCACCACAGCTGCTTCTGGCACTGAACTACACGCCCCTGTGTGGACGTGCGCATCTTACCCCCTACTCACTCACTGCGGGACGTGCTGCCTCCTTCCCGCTCTGGCAACACGAGCAAAGCTCTTGTAAATGCGCTCTGTGAGTTTCTGCGAGGACATAAACTTTCAACTCCTCTGCGTAAATAGCAACTTTTGCCCATTTTAAAATTGGGTTACCTTCTTATGGTGAATTATGAGTGACTGATTGATTTATGTTTATTTTGGCTGCTTGTGCTTTTGATGTCATATGTAAGAAACCATCACTTAACCCAAGGTCACGAAGATTGATGCGTATGTTTACACCTGTGTTTTTCCTGCTACCAGTTGTATTGTTTCAGCCTTTGTGCGTAAGTCCTGTACGCAGCAGCTCACGTGTGTGTCTGCTGTGCGGCAGTGGCCCACCTTCTCTGCTTGGCACACAGAGATCCAGCTGCTCTGAGGCCGTCGTTGTCGGTAAGGCTGCTGCTTCCGCACTGGCCTGTCCCGCCATCCTGTCCAACATCCCCTCCCGCAGCTCCACATTCACGCTCATGCCAGTGCCACGCAGTCTTGATCACAGGACTCGGAGTCAGTTTCCCAACGGGCTAAGCATGAATTCTCCCACTTCTCCCCTCTCCAAGGTTTTTTTTGTTTTTGCTTTGTTTTGACTATTCTGGGTCTCTTGCACGCCCATGTGAAACTTAGGATCAATCTGTTAATTTCTACAAAAAGTCAGTTGGGATTTTGAGAGAGATTTTGTTGACTCTGTAGAACTGTTAGTGTAGACAGTTAGCTAATTATCAGCAAGTAAGGAAGCAAAGGGAATTGGACACTGTTGAAGCTACTGTGCTGGGGAGCGTAAGCTGGTGTGCTTCCCCAGGAAGGCAGAGGCGGGGGATCACAGCACTGGCCTGGCAAGGACCAACACCCCTCTCGTCCCTGCTGAAGCATCTACTGAACCGCTGGGAGGTCGCCAGGAAGCACGGGCGCAATAGAAGTCAAAATGGCCCGAGGGGAGGTGCTGAGGAGCTTGCCCTGAGAGGTCTGTCGGCCTAACCTGGGAAAGGGATCAACTGGCCGGGGGTGGACCCAGCAGGAGTCCACAAAAGCTTGGGAAGTTGATCAGTATAGAAAACACCATTTACTTTTATGTTGATTTTGTGTCCTGTAACGTTTCTGAAAGCTATTCTCATAGTATTTTTGCAGACTTAATTAATATTTTTATATACAAGATCATGTCATCTCAAATAGAAGTAGTTTTTTTTCTTTCTTTCCAGTCTGGGTGCTTTTTATTTCTTCCTGTTGCCCACACGCCCTGGGGAGAAGCAGCACAGTGCTGGAGAGGATGGGTGACTTGGACACTCTTGTCTTTTCCTGACGTTCGGCAGAGAGCTTCCGGGATCTCGCCGCTGGGTGGTGAAATGCTGTGGGTCAGCTGTGGGTCTTCCATCGGCGCCCTCTGTCAGGTTAAGGAACTTCCCGTCTATTCCTAGTTTGTTGAGCACTTTTTCCAGGAAAGGGTGTTAGAGTTTGTCCAATGTTTTTTCTGCATCTACTGAGATGATCATGTGGTTTTTATCCTTTTTTAAAATTATTAATCTATTATTCTATTACTATGGTGCATTACACTGATTGATCTTTTTACATTGAACCAACCTTACATTCCTGAACTAAATCCCACTTGGTGACAGTACAGAACCCTTTTATTTGTTGTTGGATTCGGTTTGCTAATATCGTGTTACAGATTTTTGCATCTCTAATTCATAACGAATATTGTTCTGTAAGATTTAAACAATGAAACATAACTAGCAAAATACCTCTTCCAGTTCAGAGACAGCAAATACTACTTTTTCAATAGTCTCCCCATGAATCTCTAGGAATCTCCTCACAGTGCCTAAGGGGGGGAAAAAAAGAAAGATTACTCAGTAAGAAAAGGTACTTATGCATGAAGAAAAATCAAGCCCTTCCAAGTTTTATTTTTGCAGTGGACACTCCTCATCTCACTCAGGTCTCTGCCCAGTGGCACCTTATCGGCCAAGTCCGCCCGGACTTCCCGAGTCAAAAAGCCTTTCCGGACTTGCTCTCCTCCAGAGCGACCAGAGCAGCTGTTCCGTGGAGATTCCTGTTGAGGATACGTGCTCCCCCCTTAACCCCCCACTCCCCGAATCCACTGGGAAGGAAGCTCCACAGCGGCAAGAGCTTTGTTGGATTTACTGCCTCACTGCCAGAGTCCAGAGCAGCACCTGGCTGTAGCAGGCACTGACTCCAGTCTTCCCTTGTCTGGTAGTTTCCTCTTATCCCCCGTGGCCGCCCTCTGACCAGAATGATCCAGCACAGGCGTCTCTCCACTCATTCAGTTCCATCATTAGCCGTCCCAGTCAGCCTTTCATTCCTGCCAAAACCCCACCAAACCAAAGCTGAATTACACTTTTCTTAATTTCTATGGTATCCAGATTCTTCGCGGCCAACTCCCTAATAATGAGACCCGACAGTCTTTCCTCGGCCCTTCACTGACTGGAGCTCAGCTCTCCGGCTTCACTGCCAGAAATGCCCACGACTGACTCGCCTTTTCAAGATGCTGTCCATCAGGGTTCTGGCCTCCACATTTTTTATTTTCTTGACATATACATTCTCTTTAGCTCGCTGATTTGCTGGTTAGGTACTGCCCCAAATGCTGATGGCTGTCAAATCTGTATATTGTTTTCTGAACAAAAAACCTGAATTCCCTACCACCTACTGGGCATAATGCCCACGTAATCCAGAAACCTCGAACTCAGCATGTCCAAACCCGACTGCAACATCTTCCCCCGCAAACCTGCTCCCTTACCTGTACTACTTATTCCAGGTACATAGAAATACCCATCTGCTTGCCCAAGCTAGAATTCTGACTTTTCTGACACTTTCTTCACCTCTTCCTTCAGTTGCATTTTCAGTGGATTTCATGTCCTTTAAAGTCTGTTGCTGGCACTTCTAACATCTATGCTTTCTCTCTTCCAGCTGCTCTCGAGGCTTCCCGAGACTTTGGCAATAAGCTCTTAACCATTTGCTTGCTTCTCCACATGTTCACTGCTGCTGAGTTCTCTTCTGTTGTCCTCCTTACTAAACACTCTGATGGCTCTTCACTGCTTCTAGGTTAAAGTTTAGGAAACTTTCCCCTAGGAAAACTTTATTTAAATAAACTTTCAAAAGGGGATTTCCTTCTATTTACTTTGACACCAAGTTTTATTGTTCACACAATAAAAGTCCCTAGCACAGCTCTTCACACAGTGACCTCAACTAACCACCTCTCCCTTCCTGCCCTAGTCCCACTCCCCACCTCCCCCATACCACACACTTTAGCCAAATCAGCTTTGCTGCACTCACTCCCAGCACGCCACTTACTTTTATGCTACCCTACCTCTGTGTGCACGGTCACCTGCCACTAGAGTACCACTCGCCCGCCATGATGCTCTCACAGTGAACACCTCCTCATTTCTCAAGGCCCAGTCAAAGCCCTCTCCTTGGTGTAGAGCTCCACCCCTCTTCTGCTCGTCCTGCAGTGCTTTGAGCAGCCCTCCTTTTGTGAACTTCTCACAGCACTTCTTAGCTAGACTGTGAGTTTGTTCAAGGCCATTTTACATTATACACAGCATACAAGAATGTATGTTACACTAACATTACCAGAGCCTAGCACACTGTGGGGCCAGTAAGCAATCATTCACAGGTAACTGGTAACTGCACTAACACGGTAGGACTCCGGCTACCCACACAGTGTCTGCCTTGCTCACCACTGTGTCTTGAGAACCTCATGGCACAGACCCATTTGCTGAAGGACTGAACAAATACTCATACTTCTCTCTGTTGGGTGACAAATCCTTGTTTCATTTTTCCCTGTATTCCTCTGTTTAAAAATGTATTTAAATAAACTTTCAAAAGGGGATTTCCTTCTATTTACTCTGACACCAAGTTTTACTGTTCACACATAACAACTTCCTAGCATACAACTGTGGGATATCCTTTGGAAGACATAATACAATGCCAAATAGTAATTACACTGAATTCCCTCAGCAGAGTTCATTCAGGAAGTAATTCTGCATGAAGAAGTAAAAAAAGTGATGCCATGGTTATAAGGCTGTAGTACCGCCTGCCACACCAGGTTTTCCCTTCCAAAGTTTTATCTGTGTACTACCCTCTGCAACCAACCAGGATGTCAAGTACCTAACTTTTACAGAGAACCCTTAACTGGAGAGAATGACATCTGGGCCATTAAAGTTCCCGACCTGGAAACACAACAAGAGCAAACGCCAGCATCTTTTTTTTTCCTCACCACTGTGCCCTCTTCTGTCTAGTACTGGGCCTAGCACATAGTAGGCATTCCAAGTTTTGTTGAGTGAACAAATAACCTGACAAGTTCATTTCAATGCAGATGTTTCTTTAGGCTTCTTCTGGAGAAGAACTGAACTGTACATGCACTAAGAATAAAAAGATACATAGTCTCCCTTCATCTATCAGGAAAATGCTATTGTACTTAGGTTTCAAATGAAAGGAATTTTCATAGGAGCTTAATAAGAAATAAGAAGCAAAGGTTGTGGTACTAAGGATTCGGAGTTACATCATTAGGTTTGTTCTTGGCCCATATCTACTACAAAGATTACAAGCTATTTATTTCCCAAATGCTCAGAAAGTATGTGAGCAAAGGGCACACTTATCTGTGTGTGTGTGTGTGTTTTAATGAGCTTAATTATATTTTTGATACTATATTTAAGGTGTGATAAGTTGCATAGGCTGTATAAAATATACGTTAACTTGCCCATCTTAAAGCTTTACATTTCTTGCACGAAATTCCTAGAAATTGCTTCATGAAAGTCCCTTATTGCTACTGCTGATTTTTATCTGCTGTTGCTACAATTACTGCTCCAGGCAGACACTTCAGCAAGTCGTTTATCTGGGGCCACAGACCTAGAGTCATACTGGCAGAGCTGGGACCAAAACCCCAACTTCTTGATTCCCCTTTTCAGGGTCTTTTTATTTATTATTATTATCATTATCATTTATTATTTTTAATAAATCAGTGAATTTTATTACAAATGTATTTGATCACTGGGCTTCGAAAAATTTAAAATCAATACACTATTTTTTGTATGCCAGTACAAAGCAAACTGTTTTACAAATTACCTAAAAATTGGACAGGAACATTAAAATTTGATGAAAACCAGTTATAAAAATCCTTAATCTCTCTTTTCAAAAAAGGAGTCAGTCTTTCTGGTCCTGTTATACAATATTAATGCTATTCACCATTTTTAGAATAGGCAGCTAAATTATATTTTTCTGTTAGCATACAGTACTCTTAGACTAACAGATTTATATTTGTACAGATTCTAGTTAAGCTCGTGAATGTAAAAGCCACGGACAGCAGAAGACAAAACCAAAAGGGACAATAAAAACCTCAGCAGTCTCACTTTCCAGTCGTCCCATGCCAACTGGACAGATTTGGGTTGAAAATTTGACTCAAAGTGGAAAATACATCAATGTGTTTTTTAGGTCTTCATATCTAGAGACAGATAAATATTCCAATTTAATTTTTCAGGTAATGGAGAAAATGGCTAGTGATTTTAACCCCTGCCTAAAGAACACAGATAATTTTAGCTGGGAGCAAATACTTACTGCCTTGAAAAATAGCACCATAATGGCCTATGAAAATCAGTTGTAGAATAACCTTTAACCTTTTAAACTTTGCAAATTACTATTTTTTAAAAGATTTTATTTTTATTTTTAGAAAGTGGGGAAAGGAGGGAGAAAGGGAGAGAGAAGCATTGGTCTGCGAGAGAAATGCCCCTTAGTTGCCTCTCGCATATCCCAGCTGCGGACCTGGCCTGCATCCCAGGCATGTGCCCTGACTGGAAGTGAACTGGCGACCTTTAAGTTTGCAGGCTGGGCTCAGTCCACCGAACCACACCAGCCAGGGCTAAACTTTACAAATTATTAAACAAGTATAAAGTAGGACTCAATTACAGATAGTCGATTATACTGCAGAGCTTTTTTTTTTTTTTAAATAAAATGATGCTGCCTTTTTACCTAACCACATGACTACTTTACAAGAAGTGGAAACATAAAGGAAGGCTTAGCTCCAGCTCTGAGATTTCAGGGCAAGGGATAAGTGAGGTCAGAGGATGCTGAGACCTGCCGAAAGAGGAAGCTTCATGTTCTGTCAAGTCAGGAATTCTGCCTCAGTAAGGCACCATTCGGAACCCCTCGGGCTAGCCACAACACAGCAGCTTCCCACTGAGGCGGCTGCAACTCAGGCACAGTGGACAGGTGACTCAGCCTGAGAGCCAGAAAGCCTGGATGATGTTTCAGGTCTGAATAAGCCTGAGAACACAATAAAGTTCTGAGTCTCTTTTATTTGTAAACTGGACACCATACTACCTAAAACACAGGGTTGTTGAGGCAACGGAAGTAATTCCTTCATCCCTTTTTAAAAACGCCTATTTTTTGAGCAAGTGCCATACGTAAAGCATTCTTGACATTTTGAAGCATTGTAAACATGAAATGAAACGATAAAATCTCCGCTTGGTCTAATAGAATGCATATAAATACACTCTACTTACAAAATATATACATTTACTATAAAATCCTTGAGCAAGAAGGATCTTAGTTTTAAAAAGTTAATTATTAAACAAGACTATTTAAAACTGAACATGCCCTCAGCCTAAATTCCAGGCTTTATAATAATAATTTTATATACGTAAACATCTGCAATTTTTTGGTGGATAGTAAGACTTTTAGCTCTTTGTCTCTGAATCCTAGAGATAGAAAGGGGCCTTGAAGATCGTCCAGTACAGTTTCCCTCCCAAACGAGGAACATCTGCAACAGAAGGTCATTCGGCCTCTGCACAAACATTCCAGCGACAGGAAGTTCACTTAAAATACCTTCATATCACAGAGCGTCTTATCTCAAACAGAACTGAATCTCCCTCCTTATCAGGTGGTCTAGCACCTGCCTTCTACTGTTGGGGTTGTTATCTACCATCCTTACCAGGATCTGAGAACCTCCCGAAACAGCGTGTAAGTTCCATATGCACGCACGCACGCACGCACACATGCACGCACGCACACTCCTCTGGGGAAAGGGGCCCCAGCTTTCCTTCATCAGATCCCAGTGGGGTTTACGATGCCCACAGGGAGGTTAAGGACTGCTGCTCTAACAACGTGGCGCAGACCAAGTCCACAACGAGACCCCTGCAGACCCCTGAAGACGGGCTGCACAGGTGCCCAAAGCACGCTCTTCTCTAGAAGCGATGCCACTAGTGTTTCCAACCGTCACTTCCAGGCTGCCAGTGTCTCATGGGGTGTGAAGTGCAGAGCTACATACAAAACTCCAGATGAGATATGGACCTGCACATGATACAGCGAGATCACGGACGCCCTCAAGGTGAACATGACATTGTTGTATTACATACTGACATTCCCACTCATGATGATTGAGCGCAGCCTTTTTTAAAACCTACCGGCAGGGTTTCACATATTCAAATAGCACATGTGAACGCGGCAGTGGTTTCAACTGCAAAGAGCTACAGGAATCTGATACTGTTTTGATTTCACTGTTGCAGCCTGGTAAGATTCTTATGAACTATGACTCAAATGCCCAATGCATTAACCATACTTCTTAGCTTGGTATCACTTCCAGATTTAATAGGCAAATCTCCCAAGCCTCTACTCATATGGATAAAAACGCCAGCACAAGAAAGCACGCTGAGGGCTCTGTGCTTGGTCTGTGCGAGCTTCCCTCCAGGGGGCCACGATCGGCTACAAATCTTCTTTGGCTATAACTATCTCACTAGCGATAAAATAGACGTAAGACTCAGTTTAGGTACAGCACCCCAACCCCACATGCGAGATGCTACACCAATTTTCATGCAGTGCCACCGATGTCACTTACGAAGTGCTATGTGTGTCGCGTCCTCTAAAGGATAACCTCGTTTGGCGGAGTTGACGACACAGAACCCAACAGAAGACATCGACTGCTCTCTGCAACCAACCAGAAAACAGAAATTACCAACACTCGTAACACACAGCTCATTTGAAAATGCAGCTTAACTTCTCCTTTCCTGTCCCTTCAACAAGTCTACTGTAATAGTTAACTGCAGTATTTAATAATCATATTAATATATAATTTAATTTCACCGTTTAGGGGAAATACATTCCAAACAAAGACTAGTAAAATGGGAATAAATTAAATTCTGAAGTCACACATTCCTCTCCACACAAAGCCATTCCTTTTATTCTGCTGAGTTTCAGAAGAGAATTCACTCCATCTTTAGGGTCCTCCATAATTGCCCAAATCCCTCAGAACTGGACTTGTACAGCTAGGTTCCACTTTAAAGCCGGGCCCTAAACGGTGCAGGGCATGCTACATCCGGGAGGCAAGCAGGCCGTACTTCGCCAGCTGCAGGACGTTCCTGTAGCAGCTGTACAGGGAACTCTCCGCTGCGGTGCGGTAGCGGCTCTTGTACTTGGGCCCCACTGTGTGAATGATGAACCGGGCAGCCAAATGAAAGCCTTTCGTCAACTTGGCTTCACCCGTCCGGCAACCTGGGAACAAGGGAGCATATTTGAGTCGTGGTGGTGTTAGACAAACATCAATAGAACAATGCATTTAACAGACAGTATTAAGAATGTTGAGAAATTTCTATCAAAAATATGGGTTGAACACTAACACTTACCTGTTCCCAAAATGACAGTCAAGCAACAGAATAGGTATGAGAACAGGGACAAAAAGAATGGGCGAGACCATGAAGCAGACAAGCGCCATCAAAATTCTGGAAGGCAGAGCCAATGAGCCGGAAGTAACTGACTCAGCAATGCAGAGAATCCTAAGTGCTTGCAGGAAAGGAGTAACCGACGTGAAGAAAGGTGGTCTGCACCTTTCTGAAGGTGTCTTTTTGAAAGACAGACAGACTGCTTTAATTCCAGTCCTGCGTTGAATGCGTTCCTACTGTGACACTTTGGGCAGGTGCTTGGCCTCCTCATGCCTTACTCTGCTATTTAATGGGGGTACCAGCAGCACTGACTCCGCAGGATTCGGTGAGTTGATATATGCAGAGTGTATACACAAGTTAGCTACTGCTGTTATTACTACTGAAAAGGCTCAGAAGTCAGAGGTCCTGAGTACTTCTAAAGCCAATGGTGCAAAGTGGTCTGAAGAGAAAAGGTCGAGTTAAACTACACATAAGAACACTCAAATCTGTAACAAGCTCTCCCTCAGCCAACACAGCAAGGCCACGGCGCTTGCCCACCAGAGCAGCAGGAAGGTTTACTCTCTGGAGACGCGACCTAGAGTCTCTGGATTCCAGCTGGAACCCCAGGCACAGGTGAAAAGAGGTGACTTAGTTAAAATGTAAATACTCCAGTGTGATGACTCTACATCTCCGCTCCAAGTTGGCTTCCAAATGCAGACACTCACACTTACACCCTTGGAAGAGTCCTTTCCAGAAACCAAACAGGCCCAAACCAAAGGATCGACAGATTCTGAGGTTTGAGGGAGCTTCCCCAGCAAAACAACAGGGCTCCAGCTCATCATCCACTTCAAGAGCCACCCAGCAAAAACCACGCCCGTGCACATGGGCTCCCATGAGTTTCTCAGTTCCTCCGTCTTAAATACAGCTGACACTCAGGGGTCACCAGGAAGCGGGGGAAACTTCTAACAAAATGGGGGTGGGGGAGAGGACTCAAATGCTCAAAAAACAGACAACGAAGAGAAGGAAACTTTAAAACAAACCAAAAAATTCCCAACACCATAATCACGACTGCTCTCAGAGACACAACACCAGAGTGTTATACAAAAAGGAACATTCAGAGAACAGGAAAAAGCACTCATATAATAACTGCTGTAGCCAAGTGAAAAAATATGATGGCAGAAACAGGAAGTTCATTAGACAAGTAAAAGCTAAAGGAAATCTTCCAAAAAATAAAAAGATGGAAAGTAAGACATAATAGATATGAGAAAGAATATACAAGGAAGTACAACATTCAAAAGGATTTCTTCAAAGAGGGAACAGAGAACACAGAGGGAAGGAAATTAGTGAAGAAATAAAACAAAAAAAATCTTCCAAAACTGAAAGATACGAGTTTCTAGACTCAAAGACTCCAAAGAATACCCAAACCATAGCAAACACCAAGGTAAACATCACTGTGAAATTAAGAGAACACCAGAAATAAAGATGAGATCATAAAGGTTGCAGGGGAGAAATCAGTAACGTACAAAGGGCCAACAATAAGCGTAACACATGATATTCCAAGAGCAAAAATGAAAATAGAATAGAATGGAGCAAATGCCTTCAAAAATCTAAAACGAATCTCGAACTTAGAATTCTATTTCCAATCAAACAGCCAATTAAGTATGAAGGTAGAAGTAAGAGCTCAGTGATTTTTCTCCCTTCTCAGAAATGTCTGGTAGGCTTATTCACAAAAAATAAAGGAGTACGTCAAAAAAGAGAAAGGCATAAAACCTAGAAAGTTCTGGTTTCTAATGTTTACATGTTCTTCACGGTGTCATGTTTTTTAGTTTGATTGAAGGCGTTCTCCCTCCATCTGCCCTCACAGCCAAAATTCCGTTTCTTGACCAGATAATGCAGTTTTCTCTCTATTCCCTCTTTCATGGAGCCAGCATTAGAAGTATTCCTATTCAAATTCTAGTATCTTTATGAAGTTAGAAAGCAGCTGTCAATGTTAAATAGTTAAGATCAAATAAATCAAGACTGCACACAGGAGGGATTTGCTGTTTACATTGTAAGAACCACTGCTGTATTTCACAGATACGTTTTATAAAATGGGATGATTGAATTTCACAGTATTCCATTTGGGCTCAAATAACAATAACAAAAGGTTGCTGGGTTGGTAATTTAAGAAAATAAATGCAAATAAAGGTAAACTTGATTCTGAACCAACAGGACTCTTCCTGTCCCCATTTCTAAAGAAACACTCTGAGAAGAATGCCATGGTTTAAAAAAAAACAAAAAACAGTAGCAAGTACAAAAATAATCGAGAATTGTTTGGCTCTTGAGGTATACTCTCGATTTATCAATAAGCCAATTTCATTTCACAAGAGCAATACCCTAGGCCCAGGAGGTATATAAAAAATTCTCTATCAGTATCAAGTCTCACACACACACACACACACACACACACACACACACACACAATTTTCTGTTTAGACAAAGGATAAGTTGTTATATATGGCCTATCAATGCAAGAAAATATGTAGACAGGAAAATGCTACCAAAGATCCAACTAGCTACAGAGATTGTCATTTCAAAACTCAAGAACACGACGGAGGAGTTTTCCTGAGAGTAAAGTCTCAGTGTTCAACTTCTAACACACTGCGGAATTTTCAAAAGCTGTAGTTTTAACAACAACAACAGCAAAAATAGCTTCATCTCCTTAATTTTCCCACATAAAATGCAAAATATGCTTGTTTTAATATCAAAACGAATGTTTCCTAAGCAATAAATACCTAAGAAATTTCACTTACCTTTAAGTTTCTGGAGTTCCTCCTTCAAATCAGGCCCTGCAAGCATGAAGATACTTTCTGACACAGGATTCTTATCTGTAAGGTTTTCATTGCTGGTATTCACAATGGCTGTGCAGTTCAGTAATGCCACGTCTCCTTTCCTGAGGAAACGACAAATACAGAGCATGTGTGGGCATAAGGAGGGAGACAGGAAAGCTAGTTTCTGGCCAGGTAGCTCAGTTGGCTGGAGCGTCATCCAGGCGAGCCAAGGTTGAGGGTTCGATCCCTGGTTAGGGCACACAGAGGGATCAACCAATGAACACATAGAGGAGTAAAACAATGAAGAGATGTTCCTCTATTCCTCTTTCTCTCTGAAATAAATTAAAGAAAAAAACAAAAATTCTACTCTCACTCCCTTCACAACACTGGTTTTGCTAGCTCACATGCTTAAGCAATGGCAGAAAAATAGTTGTTCCTGACTCAGAGAGAGATGGCATCCTAGGTAGATTTCAATGCAATTGTTACAACCCTAAAACAAAACCATGATGTTCCTTTGCTTACTTCATATGTTTCATTGTAACAGAATGCTTATAGTGCCAGAAGTGGTTGGTTTAAAGAGTTTAGACACAGCCATTCCTAATGGCCAAAGAGCAGAAATAACACAAATGTCCGTCAATTACTGAGCTGATAAACTAAATGTGGTATACCCATACAGTGGAATATTGTTGCAGTTGCCCATAAAACAAAATATCACACTGAGTCCCAATCTATTCAATTATACTAAATGTCCAGAATAGGAAAACCTACATAGAAGATTAGCTGTTGGCTAGAGCTGAGAGATTGTGTGTGTGTGGGTGGAGGGGGGCTGCAGGGGGAGGGAGGGACAGCTGATGATAACGGAACTTCTGGTTGACGAAAATGCTCTAAACTTGACCATGGTGATGGCTGCACAACTTTGTGATACACTTACCACTGACTCGTACAATTTAAATCAGTGAATTGTATTTTAATAAAGCTTTTGATAAAGATGAACGTATTATCACTAATATATTCAACAACACAGACGAACTTTCAAATATGCTGAATAAAAGAGGCCAGACTGAAAAAGGGTACACGATGCCCTTTACATAAAACCCTAGATAAAGTGCGAGCTAACCTATCGTGGCAGAGCGATGGCTGCTTGGGGAGGCAGATGCAGGGAAGGGCAGGGAGGGGGTCACAAAGGAACACACACAAAAACTGGGGGAGGGGGTAAATATTTTCGCTATCTCGACTGTGGTGATGGGTTCACGGGTGTATACCTATGTCAAAATCTATCCAATTGTGCACTTTAAACAGGTATAGTTTATTGTATGTCAATTACACCTCACTAGAGCCGCGTCTGTCCAGGCAAAGCAGTATTTCGAAAATGCTAGGGCTTACAAAAAAATCTTAGAAGAAACTCTGAGTAAAAAGAACTTGGGAAGAAGCTCTGAGAAAGTATTATCATATCGTGATGTGATTAAATGAAAGAATTACCAAAGGACCACTTTCCCGTTGATGTTCTTGTTATACAGAAAAGGCGATCGAATAGTGTCTGTGTCGGCTGCAGTGTCAGAAGCGTTTAATTCATCTTCACAGGAGTCTCCCCAGCTTGGCAGTGTATCCACATCCACAAACTGGGAAGGTGCCCCCAAGGGATCCATGGAATGGGGACTTCGGCTGGTCTTTTCCCAAATCCCTCGGCAGTTCAGTCTTCACTGGAGACTTGAGAGAGAAGAAATGACTGTTTTACAGAGGAACACAGACACCACTTTACTTCTATAAGAGCAAATAACAAAACTCCACTGTGAAGTGCTCTGATAGCACACTGTGCTGTTACAGCCACGTACACAGTCCATAAAAATCAATGTGCAACAAAGAATTTTTTCTTTTTCCAGCATTTTTAAAACAGGAAGAAAGAGGGATTATTCAAGCACAAATTATTTTCAGAGAGTTACAGCCATTACAATGATCACATGTGCACCAGTTCTCCTTTCCAGAAACACAGACTACTCCTTCAACGCTCACTGAGCGTCTGCTTTTGCGGGGGGGAAGTGCTAGGTGCTGCAGGCGAGACAAAGGCAAGTGATGCGTACAACTTAAGGAGCTCAGTCTGGTGATAATATGGAGGATACACTGAGAAAGACAAAATGAGAGGCGGGGAAGTTACTTCAAGGAAGAGATAATGAAGCTTTGAACTGAGTAGAGAAGGAGATGGAGAAAGGATGGATTTAAGAGACAATACATGAAGAAAGAATTAACGGGATTCAACAACTTGCAGGCTATGGTGCACGAGACACACATGTGGCCGAGGTTAGTTGTACAGAAATATAGAAAGTCAAAGAGGACAGTGATAGGAAGATACACGGCGTCAACTACTTCAGAGAAGTCATGAGAAATTTAACACGAGAAAAGGATACTTAATTTGCCAATAGGTCAGAGAGCTACTTCAGTAAAAAGGCAGATTCATCCATTCCACAAATCCCTGTGAGTGTCTCTCCTGTGTCAGGCATCGTAGGCACTGGGGACGCACTGGCTGAGGAAGAAGAGCAGTCCATGCCCTCACAGAGGTTGTGCCTCCTGGAGAACTGGTAAACCACAGTCAAACAAGCAAGCAGCTGTCTATCAGGATGACTGCAGGAAATGAGTACTGGGAGAGAAGTGGTGATAGTACGCGTAGAGAGCTAAATTCAGGAGAGAACCAGCCCCGTGAAGCCCGGAGGGTGTTCCAGGCAGAGGAAACAGCAAGTGCAAAGGCCAAAAGGGCAGCGGGGCTTGAGCCACTCCGGGAAGAGCACAGGGGTTGGTCTGGCTGGAGGAGAATGAGCTGGGCACGGAGTGGTAGGTGAGGAGGCTGCTGTGAGAGGGACAGGCCAGGTGACACCGTTTGTATTCCATAGTAAGTTTCGATCTCACCGTAAATGTAAGTGCATCTTGATGGAGATAATGACTTAATATAAGTGGCTTCTGAAGAGTATGCTAGGGGCCAAGAGTAAGGGTAGAGACCAGTAGAAAACAATTGCAGTAATTTATTGTATGTGAGACGGTGAGGTAGGTGGCCAGAAATGGTTGGATTTGGAATATATTTTAATGCTAGAGTCAACAAGATTTGCTAAATGAATATGAAAAGTGAGGGAAATGAACAGAATCAAAGATAACTCCTACATTTCTTGCTTGAGCAACTGAGTAGATGGTCATGGTATTTACAGAGAGGGGGAAGGCTGGAGAAAGTTGTGGAGTGAAGTGATAATCCATGTGTTTTTTCCTTTTATGTTGTTTGCATGTGTTAAGTATGAGATGCCCATTAAATGGCCAAGTATTTATGTCCAAACGTGCAATTGACTATATGAGGCTCGAGCTCAGAGGAGAGATCAGGCTGAAGATATAAACCTGGAACTCTCAGCATACAGACAGTATTTAAAGCTTTGGGAACTGGACAAAATCACCAAGAGAGAAAATGCAGACAGATACAAGAGATCCCAGGACTGAGCCCTAAAGCAGAATTCAGAGGTTGGAATGAGGACAGGTCAAACAATGAGATGTGGAAGGACTGACAAGAAGGGAAAGGACACCGGGAAAGTACAGCAGCCTCAAAGCCAAGTGAAGAAAGTAATTCAGGAGGAGAGGATCGGAAAGGATCAGCTACCTGAGAGGCTGAGGAACAGGGCTGAGACTTGATTGGTGGGTTTGGTAAACGGGAGGCTGCCAGTAACACTGAACACACGTTGAGAGCTGACCAGGGCATGGCAGCTGGCATGTGAGCTTCTCGAGAATGTTTCTGTGTGATCCTCATGTTTGTTGTTAAGAGCCGCGGAGAACAAACACGACCTTCTACACCTAATGCCTTGGTGTTTCTTGCTGAAGACGTGGGATGCTAACACTGCAGACATGGGAGTGAGCCACGGACCTGACACGCGTTGCTAACCCTGAACCAACACTGTGTGGTAGGAAACGATCGTTTATGGAGCTTTCAGAGAGGCCTTGTAGATTATTACACTGTTAATGGTGGAGTTGGACCTTGGTCCTTGCACTCAGATAAGAGAATTCAGAGCCAAGACTCTAGTGAAAGGTTTATTTAGCCCTTTTAGAAAGAAAGTCACAGAGGCAGAAGTGAGCCAGCTGGGCTGCATGGATGCCGGAAACAAGTTATAGGGACAAAAGAAGGACCCCTGGAGCTAAGGAGAAAGAAAGCAAAAGATACATGCCTAAGGGAAGAAAGGGGGGAAAGGCACAGGTGAGAGGGAGAGAGAGAGGGAGAGAGAGAGAGAGAGGAAGAGATAGAGAGAGGGAGAGAGAGACAGCACGTGAGCATGCACATTAGGGTTCCTGCTCTTCAGGGTTTGTTTTCTAAAAGCAGGAAACTTCAGGGGAGGTCTCAGGGGAGGATGTCAACAGAACATTCATCAGCTCTCCATTGTGTCCTCTCTGGGTCTGGTCTCTACTGACTGGTGGACACCAGGGTCGGGGGTTGCTGATCATCTAATGCTGATGTCAGCCATGGGGTCACTGCCTCTGGTTTTGCTTCTTTTCTGGGCCTGGAGCTGAAACAAAACTAAGGCCTAAATGTCACCTGAGTTTGACTAAAACTCTGTCTCTGTGGCTCTGTTCCCAGGATTATTCTACGCTGATCAGGGCCTCACGGTCCTGCGGGCTTAATGCTTAACTAAGCGAGTGGTCCTGCAAGGGCTTGTATGGGAGTGTTTGAGGCTGTTCTCCGCCCTCCTCGTTCCTCCTCAAAGCGGGTCTAAACTAAGGACATGCCAGGAGAGGAAAGGTCACCCTGGGGATGAGGTCCTAGCCTGTAACAACCGCTTCTCTAGTTCTGCCCCGGGCCAGGCACCCAGGACTTCCTGCCCTGGGGACGTTTGGTTCCTGGCCTCTCACTCCTCCTCCACTCGCGCCGGCCTAACTGCCTGCTCTGTCGACACCACGATAAAACTGCTCGACAGGATGCTTTGTGACATTAAGTACTCCTCTGACGTTACTTGGAAATAAACTAATTGTATCCAGAAGTTTGTATTTAGTGCACCCAATGGGCCTTTGAAATTGGAGGCACCACCAGTTCTGCTGACCTGTTCGCGAACATTCCGGCTTGAACTGCAAGGAGGCTGAGCGGAGGACGGACGCGGACCGCACTGGCCTTCCACTCGACTCCTCCTCTCAGAGACCGGACAGCACCAAGTCAGTTCTCCTTCACAGCTTGACCTCTCCTTCCCTCCAGCCCGCCTGTTCTCAAAGACTTTTCCTGCCCCGTTTCTTCAGAAATGTAAACTCCTGTTTTCACCACTTGACTTTTGAAAAGTAATCTGTTTTGCAGCTCTACTTCCTTTTCTTTCCTAACCCGAGCAGTTCTGCTCCCACCCTGTAACAATGCTAAGACCGCCCTTCCCACAGCAACAGTAGCTCCCCAAACGTCAAATCCCAAACAGTGCAACTTCTAGCTGCACTTACTATTGACTGTTCCCTTCCTGGAACTCTATTATCTTCCTTGACAGTACACACCAGGGGTTCTTCTTTATCTCCAAACTCATCTTGTCAGTGGAATGTGTTGGATCTTCTTCCCAGACCTTAAAAGCCATTGTGACCCAGGAGACAGCGGATGTTAAACCAGCAGTAACAGTCAGGGGGCTTTTCACGGGGCAGAGTTCGATGGCATTGTATGGGCAGTTAACCGAGGGGGAATTCTTTTTCAGTTCCAGCTCTAAACAGAAGTTCATTTTTCCAACCAAAAAGAAATGTCAATCCCCCTACCCCAACACACACACCTCGGCAACAAAGTGAATGGAGCCCCAAAGCCAAGCTGGGCAGGAAAATCTGATTCCTGATCCCAAAGGAACTGTGATTTTTAACATTCTTGGGGTCACAGACCCCTCTGAAAAATCACAGGAGTTAAAGACCCTTTCACCACCCAAAATGTGAGGACATGAGCTCATACAAGCACAGACTTGCAAATAACTTTGAGAGGGTTCCCAGACTCATTAAGAATCCCGGTGATGGGAAGAGCGGAGGGCTCAGGTGAGGAGGGAGAGTGGAGGAGGGGAAGGCTCCAGTGAGCTATGGCTATAGCCAGAATTTTGGATAAATGAGGAGCAAGATTTTTCACTGAAAATCAACTGATCAGTTCTGTACTTAAAACAGGTTCATAAGCAAACACTAAACTTTAGTATTAAACAAAAAAAAAGGCTCCTGAAAAAATCTATTTCTGTCCCAGGATCAAAAAGTCTACCTGGAACAAACAAGATTCCAGAATGGATCATACCTCTTTCTGTAGCCATGCTATCTTAAGGGTTATCTTCAGTACCCTCATGGATGAAGACCTGAAGACACTATGTATCCTTAATAACTGAAGTACATAATGAGTACGAATGGCTCTAACCACATTGTAGCTTCTCTTTTTTCTCAGTCTTGTCATCTTTTAGTTTAAGTCCTCATTAAAAAAAAAAACATTTTGTCATCCTTTATTTAAGAAGTCCTTCTAAATAGTGTTTTATGTGACTAACTGGATTGGCTAGAGAGATTAGATTTTTATTGTTCAAGACTGAACAGAGCCCTGGCTGGGTAGCTCAGTCAGTTAGAGCGTCATCCTGATATACCAAGGCTGCAGGTTCAATCTCTGGCCAGGTAGAACAACAAAATAGATGTTTTTCTCTCTCTCACTCTCTCTTTAAAAAAATTTTTTTTTCAAAGGACTGAATAGAATTAAGCTGAACATCTTGGATCGCTGTCTCCAAACAACCTGATAGCTGTCTGGATAAAAAGAAAACGGTATCATCTTCCACTGGAAAACAAGAACTCTAAATCTGTTCACTCGTTCTTCAGAATCCTTACACTGAGTAGACAGGGCTAGATAAAACTACAAACAGAATCATCCTTGCTTTTGACCTCCCTTTTTGACCAGCTTGATTTTCCCTCTTTTGCATAAATGACAGGTTTAACATTCTTTACCTTTTTGTATTTCAATATTTAAAACTTCAGGGTCCATTAGTTACTTGTGTACAATACCCCTACCCCAACATTTAAATAATTAGATCTACTACTTTTAAGTCATTCCATGCAAATGAAAATAATGGAAAAACAAACAAGTGTTCAAACATGTCAACAATAAATATAGTATAACAAAAACATTTCGAAGCCATGTCATTGGCTCAGGCCAAATTTAACACCATCATTCAAAAACATCCAAAGCACATGTTGTAACAGTGCGTTAGTCGTACCACATTCATATGAAAAGAGCTTTATTACTATTTCCAATTGTAAGTATCAATAAACTGAGCAACTGAAAACCCTTGTATAGTGTATGTATTGGGAATTTTGTAAAATGCATAATCTTAGCACTCAATCACAGTTACTCTTATACCAACTTTTATTAAAATATTTTTTCCATTTGTGGTTGTCCTTTCCTATAATATTTAACATTTAATATAAAAGAATTTTTAAGGTAAAATCATGACTCATTCAAATATAAAAATCAATATGTGTTCAAGATTTTATTTAACTCACAAGAGAACCAGGCAGATGAGAGATAAAGGCAATCCCAAAGCTGGGTACATTTAATAAGTCAGGAATATTGAAATGAATGTACAAAGTAGTAAAACTTCCACTGAGCCTCTAAGAGAACAAAACTTGCATGTTTAGACAAAAGGTATTCAGTACTGACCTTAGTTATCTACAATTTACACAGTTGTAAAATGGCTTTCTTGGAATCAGATAACCCAAGGTGTGTCATCCAGTTAATATCTAGGTGAGTAGTTTTCTACTGAAGCAGACACACATCTGTAATAATACAATGCACATCACCTATACGGCATATTAACCATACACACTTAAATGTTCCCTTTCCTACCAAACTTTTTGAAATAACAGACTGTCACAATTTCCTCACATTCATCCAACCCACGGCAATCTTGTTTCAAAACAGCTATACTGCTACATCTATCTACAGTCTCATGATACCCATTCTCTACTATTGCAATTTTCTTGAATACGGAAGACTAGCTGGACATGCCTTAAAAACTCAAGAAACTTCTGAAGAAAATCAGACAATGTAGATAAAAGTCTAATTTCTAGGCTAGCTGCAGACATCTTGCTCAGTAAGAGAAAACAGAGGCTTATTTCTCTTGTATAGCGTACGCGTTAGCTTTCATTTTCCACAGCTACGGACACCAGGATTCATTTCTAAACACTTCTATGCAGCCCAAGAGTGGGCAGAACTGCGAGAGAAAAAAGGTAATTCCCACTCGGTAACAGAGCACCTAAGCTTCAACTGCGGAGCAAGGAGGAATCAGCCCTGGTCACTTCCCCCTCAAGCGGTCAGAGAGCGAAAACACAAAGCCAGACCAATGTCACTCCAGGGACTGCGGGGATGCAGACAATTCGGCACGAAGGGCTTATCGCCCACCCAGCCCAGACTCGAGCTGCTCCCGGTTCGTGGAATGCCCCGTCGACCCCGGCGGCAACACAGACTCCACTCTGACGCTATAACCAGCAGGGCTCCCGACGCTCTATTATTTCACCTGCACCCCGGGGCGCGCGCCTCTCCCGTGACTCCAGCACCACTGTTCCCGTGCCCGCGTCTGCCTACCCTCTCTCTTCTCCTGGACAAGACGTCCCCGACAGCACCTCTGGCGAGCGGAACCCAACAGCTGGGGGAAGACGCGGCAGGCTCCTTCTACAGATTGACAGAACTGAACCCCACCCCGGACCCCTAGCCCGCGCCCCCAGCCGGGACCCAGCCCCCGCGCCTCCCGCCGCGCCCCCGGCCCGCTCGGCCCCGCCTCCCCTCCCGGCCTGTGCCCCGCCTCTCACAGCACTCAAGCGGTCCCATCCGGGCGGCAGGCGAGGCGGGTTAAGCTCCTCGTAGAAAGCCGCCGAGCGGCATTCGGACCACCCTTCCGAAAGCTCGGCGGGTAAGGAGAGTCAAAGTGCCAGGAAGCTGGAGCGACCAGCTGCAAGATCTCTGGACTGCGAAACACTGACTTCCGTTCCCCAGTCGGCGCTCGCCTATCAGATGCCGGGTCTTACGTTATTTCCGCCTCGGAGGCTCTGGCAACGCCGGGCGGAAGAGGGTCCGGGAGCAGTGCCGGAAGGGGTGGGTCCGTGGGCGGGTCCGAGCGTCAGGGAGCCTCGTGGAGGTAGAGGTGAGTGTGGGGAAGTGCGGCGGCGGAACGCCTTTGGTCCGCTACTCTAGCTTGGCTGGTTCTGGCTGAGTCCCTCGTGGTGCCTGCAGCGAGCGAGGCGGCGGTGGGAATTGGCGTCGGTCCCTGGGGTGGAGGGATACCTGGACGATCGCGCACCCCACCTCCATACCTGGAGGCCGCCCGCCTACGCCCGGGGCTGGCTCGTGCCGAATAGTGCCTCCTGACCCCGTGCGTACACTAGCCCGCCTGAGGATGCTCCGGCAGTGTTGTCCGTGTGCAGAATCCCTCTCACCCTCTCTTGATTGATGAATCAGTTTAGGGACGTCTGATGACTATTACCACGCCCCAGCCCTTCGGTGCATTGTAGAAGCAACATGTTTTGAGGGGGCTGTGTGTTAGGAAGCAGGGATGGTAGGGTTGCCGGGGAAAGTTAGGTCGTGAGCTCTCTCCAAAAGGCATGGAGACCTGTGCCCATGAGACAAGTGATCGATGCCGCGTTGTATGGAAGATGAGTATTGAGGCATTGGAAAAGGCTGCGAGAGTTGGACCAGCCCCGAAGGAAGTGGGACTCAGGATAACGTTGATTAAAATAGACGGGAGAATGCTTGTTGTTTTAGGTGACAGGAACTATACAAGGCAAGGTGGCAGGACAAGGAAGAAAACCAATTAGCTTGACGAGAGAATAAAGAGGGATAGGTAGGATGAGTTCTTGGAAACTGCAAACAATTTAGCCTTTTCAAGGGTTTTGGGGTAGGGACAGTGTATGTGAAAAGGTTAGGATGGTAATATTATGACTTTTATACCTAAAATCAAGTAGCTATACTACTTTAAAAAATTTATTTATTCATTTTCAGAGAGGGGAAGAGAAGGAGAAAGAGAAATATCAACGTGTGGTTATCTCTCACGTGCCCTGGCACTGGGGACCTGGCCTGCCACCCAGGCATGTGCCCTGACTGGGAATCAAACCAGTGACCCTTTGGTTTGTGGCCCACTCCCAATGCACTGAGCTACACCAGCCAGGGTAGTATTATGACTTTTAAATGAAAAGAGTAAAAAACATGCCAGTGGAGGTGCTAGATGGGAAACTAGTGCAGGAGCTCAGTGATAAAAAGAGAACAGAAAGTGGAAAGAGGGAAAAGGATCCCACTTCAGAGAAACAATCAACTAGGTGGAAATTTCTGACAATAGAGGACAGAGGCAAAGAGAAGCAGTTTAGCGTAGTGGTTAAAAGAAGAAATTTTGGAGGTGGACGGGATTGCAATCTGGCTTTGCCACTTAAAACTCACTGCATGTATTCATGCTAGCGGTTTCACTCTCTGCCTAGGGTCCTGGTGTTAAAGTAGGGGTAAGAACAAAACCTACCTTGAAGGTTACAGTGAAGAATTTTTTTGTGCTTATATTTACAAGGTGCTAGGTGTTTTTCTAAGTGCTTTACATATATTAGTAACCCATTCAATAAATAAATTGCTATGTGTAACTAAACAACTATGTGTGTTTACTCAGTTACATATCAGTTACCATATACAGACAGTCCCAACTTAGGCTTTTTCTATTTTACCATGGTGCAAAGATGATACACATTCAGTAGAAACAATACTTTGGATTTTGAATTTTGATCTTTTCCCAGGTTAACTAAGTACATGCCGAATGGTCTTCTCGTGAGTTGGGCGGTAGCAGTGAGCTGCAGCTCCCGGTCAGCCACGTGACCACAAAGGTAAACTACCCGTTGTGCCCAAATAGGCTGCTGTAAGTGTTCTGTGCACATTTAAGGGAGGCCGGGCTGAGCTGTGATGTTTGGTAGGTTAGGTGCATTAACTGTCTTCAATGTACAATAGTTTCAACTTACAATGAATATATTGGGATGTTCCCCCCATTGTAAGTTAGGAAGCATGTGTAGTAAGCACTCTTTAAGTCTTGGCTGCTATAATAATATTTTTTGTTAAGGAGCCAACAGCTTCTACAGGGTTTTAAGCCTGAGTGGCTAGGAGGTTTCCATTTCTGAAAGTCACAAAAAAATAAGAGGGGTTCAGGAAGCAAGGTAGGTTTGGTTTTAGACATGTTAAATGGGATGCTGCAAAGTATTCGAGCGGGGATGTCTAGTTAGTAATCACGGGTGTGGACAGAACTGGAAATAGAGGTGGGACTCCCTGGGCGGAAGTGGGCTGTGTAACATCTCCCAGGGCAGTGCTGCGGGAAGGTTTGGTAGATAGCCTGAAACCATCGTGAGGACCAGCTGCAGGGAAGGAAGAAGGTGAATGGGGAAAGTACCCATCAGATGGCCCAAGTTACTTGGATTACCACCTCGCTGACACTCACTCTCCTTGATTTTTCACTGGCTTTGTGTTGGTTCCTATGATGAGGAAAAGGGGGCCACTAAGCTGCTTGGGAGATTCGAGGTCTGCACTTCACTTTGTATCAAGAGCAGATGGGCTTGGCTTGTCATCTCTTTCATGTATCGTCTTGAGTATCCATAACCAGTGTTTTCCGTGGATTTGATTTAGTGCAAGAACTACAGTGTCTTTCTAAGATAGTGTGCCAAGTGCCGTACCCTTTTCTGTGCCAAGGGGAGGTGGCAGCCCTGACTTGGCAATCAAGGGCTATGTTAGGACAGTAGATCTCAAAGCGAAGAACCAAAAAAAGCTTGGGCTCCCCCAGACGTACTAACTCGACATAGACTTTGGGGAGGGGAGGGAGCAGTGGGTCCCTGCCATGTGTTTTAAGAAGCCCCCAGAGGATCTGGGTACTTGCTGGGGTTTGAGAACCACTGTGCCAGAAGGTCAGTGCCGCGAGGCCAGGTATTTTGTTTTCCCGTGTCTTTGGCACCTACAGCAGTGCCCGTCTAATTAGTGAGTCTGCAGGAAATGTTCCCCAGTATGTATTTTTAGTCTCAGGCTCCCAGTCTCAATGTAAAAACTTAGATGGGGGTCGAATGGGCAGAAGCTAGTTGCTCAGCTGCACTGAGGCCCTGTGTCGGGTGTCTGTGAGAGGGGCGTGGCAGTGTCACCCGTCTGCAGCTCGACAAACAAGGGCGTGCATGTTGAATCATCAGTGAATAAAAAATTAAGATGTCCAGGTATTTTATGTCACGATTTATATAGGTTCACCACATGAGAAACAGTTGGTGTTTGCTAGCCTCCCAGAACCAGGGTGCCCAAAGAACTGAGTTGTCTTCATTTGCCTGTGCAGCTGCCTCGCCTCTGGTCTCCGACCTTTCGACATGGGTCTCACCAAGCAGTACCTGCGCTATGTGGCTAGTGCAGTCTTTGGCCTAATCGGCAGCCAGAAAGGTAATATTGTCTTTGTGACCCTTCGTGGTGAAAAAGGACGCTATGTGGCAGTGCCAGCCTGTGAACACGTCTTCGTCTGGGACCTAAGGAAAGGAGAGAAGGTGAGCCAGAAGTCCCCAGGGTCGGTGTGGACGTGTGCGTGTGTGAGGGTGGAGAGGCAGAGGAGCGAGTGCTCTGATTTATCAGGCAGAGGTTTTTTAGGTGTGCGCCCCTGGGAGGGACATCTTGGTGCAGGGAGGGGGGGGCGGGGGGTAGAGAAGGCCGGGTATCAGGTTCTCTGGTGTCGTTCTGCACGGAATTCTGAGAACCACAACCAAAGAGGAGCTTACTGCTTAGGTATCTATTTGTAGTGATATTTACAGGTCATTATTTGTAATTGTTATTCCCCACGTTTGTCCCTAACTTACCACTTCTCTATTTGCAGCTGCGTCTACTTGCCCTTGCGACCAGTTACAAGATTTAGGCATTTAAAAGGCATAGTTCTCTGCTATGTTGACTGAATCTTTTTTTACTTATACAGATGAGGCCCAGGGTTGTTAAGCTAGCCTTTAATACTTTATGCAGTTCTAAATTCCATAAATCTACCACTTCTGCCAAACCCCACACAGGCATTTTGACCTTGCCTGCTCACTGTGGCTCCCAAGAGGTTAATACATTGATACTTGTTGCTGCACTGAGTCCTTTAGGGATACAACATGATAGTACTCTGGTGCCTTGTAGGTTGGTTTCTTAGAAGATGAGGCCCTGTTAGTGCAAGGCTGTGTTTATAACCCTTTATGGGAAATCATTTCGTGCTGGCATAGAGTAAGGATTTAGTAATTCATTCCATTGCCTGGGGAATTTTTGCATGTCTTATGCTAATGTGGAGCTTCAGATAAAGTAATTTTACTTTTCCTTGAATGCTTTCTTTGCCCACTATAAATAGTAATTCCTACCTTAAAGAACTTCAGATGGATTGTAGAGTTTCATTTATGAGTGATTTGGAGTTATTGGTGCTTTTCCTTTTTTTAAAAAAGGTTTTATTTATTTAATTTTGGAGAGGGAACGGAGGGAGAAAGAGAGAGAAACATCAATGTGCGGTTGCTGGGGGTCATGGCCTGCAACCCAGGCATGTGCCCTGACTGGGAATGAAACCTGCCACACTTTGGTTCACAGCCCGCGCTCAATCCACTGAGCTACGCCAGCCAGGGCTGGTGCTTTTTGTTTTATGGTGAATGATTATTCCCACACTTTCCCCTGGTGACTCGCTTAACTCCTGTACTTTTTTTTTGATTCTGTGATTTCAGATCCTCATCCTTCGGGGGCTGAAGCAGGAAGTCACGTGCTTGTGCCCCTCCCCAGACGGGCTGCACTTGGCTGTGGGCTATGAGGATGGGTCTGTTCGCATCTTCAGTCTCCTGAGTGGGGAGGGAAACGTGACCTTCAATGGGCACAAAGCTGCCATCACCTCCCTGAAGTATGATCAGCTAGGAGGCAGGCTGGCTTCGGGATCCAAGGTGAGACCTTGTATCGGGTGCCCAGACTGAGCTCTGGTAAAGGAGTGTCAGGCCTGTGCTTGTGTGGGACTTG